CATTTGCATGGCATATCTTATTCTGTCCCTTCACTTTCAGTCCATGTGTGTCCCTAGAGATGAAGTGAGTTTCTTGTAAGTAACATATAGTTGGGTCTTGTTTTTATAATTCAGCCACTATATGTCATTTAATAGGAAAGCTTCATGTTTATACTCAAGGTAGTTATTGATACGCAAGGTCTTACCACAGCTACTTTGTTACTTGTTTCCTAGTTTTGTCGTGATGCCTTTCTTTCTTCCTCTTTTATGGATTCCTTTGTGGCTGATTTGTTCTAATAGTTCACTTTGACTCCCTGCTTATTATTTTTGATGTAATTTTTACTTTGTGGCTACCATGAGGCTTATAAAAACCTTCTTTGGTTTTAACAAGCTATTTTGAAATTACAGCGACATAAAGGACAGAAAAGAGTATGAGAAAATTTATTAATAAAACTCTAGTTGTACTCAATTCCTCCCCATATTTTGAATTTTTGGTATCCCATCTTGTATTTTTCCATATTGCTTTTTTTTTTTTTTTTTTTTTGAAGCAGGGACTCACTATGCAGCTCAGGCTATGATTCCTATGAGCTCACTTTGTAGCCCAGATAGGTCTTGAACTCTCAACAATCCTCCTGCCTCAGCCTCCTGAGTGCTGGAATTACAGGAATGTGCCACCATGCCTGGCTGCTTACCTCTTTTTTTTGTAATATTCTTTTTTATTAGTATATTTGCCATACATAATGAATACAAATAAATACACTCATCATGGGGAATTGGTACCTGTATACACTGCACCTTAGCCTTTTTACTTTTCTTTCCTCTCTCTCCATCCCTAGATCTCTTTCCTATCTCCAAAAGTCTACCTCATTTCCTATCATCTTTTATTTTGCTTTACTTATACTTTGAATGTACTGCTTAATGTTGTTATTCTTTTTTTATCTTTCATGCTAAAATATGGTTTATACAACATACTGTAATCAAACATTGTGAATTTGTGTAATTACTTTCACTAGGGAGCTTTATACCTTCCTATGTTTTCTTCTTATACATTAACATCTCTTTCAGTTTGAAAAACTTAGTATTTCTTTAGAAAAGTTCTGGTAGATATGTATAGTCTCATCTTTTGTTTAGGAGTACCTTTCTCCTCTATCTTTCATCTTTGAGATTGTGTTTGGGGGTGTACTTGGTTGAGTTACATTTCACTGGTGATCATTAACTTCCTGGACCTCACTGCTTCCTTCTCTGGGTTTTGAAAGTTTTCTGTGATGTTTTTAAATAAATATTCTATTCCTTTGGCATTCTCGTTATCTTTTTTCAACTCCAATAATCTTAAAAGAATTTGCACTTTTAATGTTGTCCCAAAGTGCCTGTAAGATTTCATTTTATTCTTGCCAACTACATATATTTAGGTCGCCTACTTCTGATTTCGTTCATTTCATGTTTAATCTATACTGCTGTTGATGCCTGGTGTTGATTTCACTGAGTGTATGTCTCAGTGCACGAATTTCTGCTTGTTTAGAGTTGCTTCCATCTTCCTGAGTTTCTGTTGGGAGTTATGGTGAAACTGAGAAACTGAGTGCCAAACTGCAAGCCCAAACCCACTTATTTATCACAAAGTGTCAACACTGCAATACTGAGCTTTTAATGTAGAAAAAACCCTCTACATTAGTAACTTCTGTGTTAAAAGAAAATCAAAATAACATTTGTGGCATTGGTTTGGCCAGCACTATGTTAGAGTATTGAAAGTTTTTTTTTCCTTCAAGATCAACTTTCTTTAAAATGGCTGTTATTAATTCTCTCAGCGTTTTCCCATGAAGATTACTGCCTGGTCAGATCAGAACCTTGTTCTTAGTATTAGATGAGGTCATGGTTTTCTGAAAGCTCTTGATGCCTCTTGGTATACAATGTTTTCTGGACATTGAGGGATTAGGAATTTATTCCAGTCTTCATAATCTACCCTTGTGCTTAGCCTTCCAGAAATTCTAAGCAGGTTGTTTACTGCACACTGCAGCTAGACGTGATGCAGATCAAAACATTAGTCTGTCCCAGTGAGGTATAGGTCCCGGCATGATACCAGGGCAGCTCTTGAGCCCTGTGAGCACTGTCCTGGCAATATCTGTGTTGCCCAAGGTTGGGGAACGGATGGTAAATACAATCCCTTGGCCACCAAGGCTCGTAGCAAGCTGGGTGGCACCTGGGTTTCATAGCCACAGAGAGCTGCACAGTCCTGAGGTGAGGGTGGGTGCACCCAGACCCACTCGAAGGCTAAAGCGGACTGAGACTTGTGTCTGACTCACCAGCACACAGGTCTCAGTAATGGAACCTTTTATTTTTCAATGCTGAGTTCATAATTTAACTTTTGTCACTAATAAATATAGCTGGTTGCACCTTTCCCCACCCATTTATTAGCTATATTGTTTTTTAAAACTCCTATTTTTTCACACCATACTGAATTTGAAAGAGAAAACCTCACAATCTTAATCTTCAAAGCCTATATATACTTTTATAAAATATTAGGGAAGATAAGCCACAAAAACAGCCTTTGGTTTTTTCAGAGTCACAAAACCTCAAGGCCAGCAGAAGGCCTACAAAGAGCAGTTAAAGTCCAATGTAACATATTAACCTGAAGGGCACTTTTAAAATGAGTTTCTTTTGGGTTGTCTGCCTGTGAAACTAGGGTCTGTGGTGTTAGATTTTTTTTTTAGAAAATGAACCAGGATGTTGGAAGTGAGCCTGTAAGAATGAATAACAAGCTAAAAGAAGCCCCTTTGGTAAATCAAACTTGTCTGGGAGGATACTAAGAAGCTGTTGCTGAGAAGCCGCAAATAAAAACATGCACCACCCCTTCTGTCACTGTCCTTCAAAACCTGCCAGAAAAGTAACCAAAAGTGCTTTCTGCACAATAACAACTTACCTGAAGTATTTTCTGCTTTTCTACTCAGTTCTCTTTTCTGGAGGACATGCTGTTTATCCCATTCTAAATGCAGTATTTAAATAGGATGTTTGCTAATGTTTTCAATAGTATTTCTGGTTTGGGACACTTAGAACACAGTGTGGTAGGGAAAAAGATCAAGACTTCAATTAACTTTACGTACAGCCTATTCTCTACCCATCTTTTCACTCAATAAAACTTACAGGACTCCTAATACATGCCAAGAAAGCTATGAGGCAGCCTGGCCTAGAATGGTGGCAGGTAGTCTATAGGCAAAACAGACTAACGCGATAGTTAGGATGTAATGTCTGATGGGCCTTTAGAGCGGCTTGCACGTGGGCTTGAAGGGACAGGATCATTTCAGGAGCCTACCCCTCGGTTTGTACCTGGGGAACAGGGGAAGAGGAGGAACAGGGGAGATGGGAGTAGGCTTCAGGAGTCATGAACTCTTAGAAATTAGAGCAAATTTTTGTACACATGTGTACCTTTTGAGGAGACAGTCCTCAGTGTTTAACATTTATTTAAAATAGTTAATAACCCCATAAAAGGTTAGGGATCATTTATCCATAACATGAAGAAATCTGGAAAAAAAAGAAATCTGGAGATCCTTTGATATTATATGCATGTCAAACATGAGTTATACCAGACTGCTCAAGCAAAATTGGTCTCAAGAGAACCAAGCCGCAGCTGTATGCTTGTCATATGGTACAAGGACAAGGTAGTATCATGGATTTTTTCAACTTGGCTAAGAAAGTTGACAAAAATAATGTAGGACTTCCGCTTTGGCCTTGGCTACCAAAAGCTAGATGTGATATCACAAATTGGTTTCCATAATATGATGAATTACTCTAAATCTGAAGAGATCCAAAGCAAAGCCAGTGTACAAGGATGCAGATGTACTGATGATTACATGGTGTTTGCAACAACTGATTTGACTTTTGTTTGTAAAATCACCACTTTTCTCTCAAGTTTTTTAGGCAGCTTTGCTGAGCCTCATTAATCTGGATAAAGTCAACAACCAGGTAATTCCGAGTAGAAACTGAAGACCACCAAGTTATTTTGTTTCTGAATATAAACAGGTCAGTAAAGATAAATTCCTCACAAGTGCTGAAAAAGTTGTTACAAAACAACTTGTTTATAAACTCATGCTCCACTGCCTAAAGTGTGGAATGTAAAAAGGACATTACCACTTAATTGTACCCAAATGCTCCATTCTTCTCAATTTAACTATCCTACTCCAGAACAATCTAGCAAAATTATTACTTTTAAAATTTGGAAAGGAAAGGATACTTTGGCCCATACTGTTTGTCTGCTTAGGTTTCGGCCTGTTAAGAAAAGAAGTTACCTGTGAGGAGGACAGTATCGTAGGGAGGAATAATGTAACACCCTGGGGGATATTTCTGCATATTAGTATCTGAAATGATACAGTCTTATTTAACTGGAAGGTGTACTGTATACATAGCACTAGAAGAGACTTTCCATCAGAGTAACACTGCAGTTACAAATGCTTTGCCATTTGTTCTTCTAAGTAATGAGTAGAATGAACTCAGTCTTTGGCTTCCACGTGTGGCTAAGTGGAGTGTGCCACACTGAGAAGAAGACAGGGAGTTTGAGAGCCACCTGGGAACAATCTGCTCTGGACTGCAGCAAAGGCTCTAAGTGTGAAATAAGTGTTGAATGACAGCAGCAAGATGGGATTGGCTTCGCTGTTTGGTGCACAGACAGTGTCAAACAGGAGTTTTAAGATCTGGACGATGTCTTACAATAGCTTGGCATGTTCCTATAAACAAGGAAGAAAACGAGTCCTGGAAATGCAGCCACCAGGAACTTAACAGTCTTGTGAATTTTCATGCACTGAAAGTTCTTGTCTACAATCTAGCAAAGGTCTGTAAAGGTCTTCACTGAAAATGAAGCAGTCACGCCAAAAATGCATACAAATGGTTAAGTGAAGAAGAGTGTCAAGTCTGTTTTCCAATTACACATATTTTGTATTTACTCAACTAAGATCTTTGGGTCTCATACGCAAGTAAAATTTTCATTCCTACAGAATCAACACAATAAAAACTAATTACAAATAAGCACTTAAACATTTTTGACAAAATCCAACTTTATAAATATTTAAATCAAACAAAACGCTGTTACAACTTCCAAAGATTAAACTAATCATCATTTCTTGATCGAAACAATATGCCATTAGGTTTGTAAACAAAAGTTGAGAACAGAGTCACAAACATGGTTTCATCAGATAATTTATCTAAATTGCATCAAGAAGAAAAAAAGTTAACATTCCTATACCCACTTTTCCATAAATTAAAAATATTTAACAGAAACATAAAGATCTGTAAGTCATAAACTCTTTTAAGCATTTACTGAAAACTATGTTTATAACCCCAGAAAGTTTAGCTGGGAATACATTCTCTACTCACTTTCTAATTATGGCTAAATACTCAATTTCACATGAAAAATGTCAATTGTATGAAGTATTATGAAAGCCCTTGTTTGAACCATTAACATTTTCTGTGTACACAGTTTAAAATGCAGTGTTTAAAGGTTTCTGGTTCCAGTAGGCCAGTGAACCCGAAACGCTTGCTAGGCTGACTGCGGACCTGCTAGGTGGCTGACTAAATGAGCCAAGTGACACAGGTCTGTTGGGAACGGGGGCAAACACAAAGTACACAGACGGACTTTACTGATGCAGCTGTGTACTTTGGTCGGCTCTTGGGAAAGGTCAAGATTTTTGGAACAGAGGAAATGGGATCTGGGAAACAAAGTATTGTCAATGTCTAGCGATGGCTCCTACACAATTATGAATATTGTGAATGGTGGCCATGTCATCATATGCGATTCTCAAAATACTGTTAAAATGTTAGGAAAGCCTTGTACTATAAATGTTGTAGGAAGCTTCAGAAAGATTTCTCTGTAAGACGCTGGTTTCTCATTTCCTATGATGCCACTTTTTCATATTTGGCTGTTTAACATTTCCCATTGGTAAACAGTTCAAGAGTATGAGATTAGTCCCCTCCTCCACGAACACCAAGAGTGTTTTTCAGCTATTCCTTCAGACTGATCTCCAACATCTGTGTCTTCTGGCACAAATCAGTTAAACAAGATGAAATTGCACTATTTTTTGTGTAAAGGGCACTGGGCTATGAGTCAGCAGGTATGGAAATTCAAGCTGTGTGAGTGTAGGCAGGTCAGTCTTTCTAGGATTCATAGCTCCTCATTCGAGGTCTTTCCTAGAACAAAATCAGATAATTCTAAGTTGGTAGGTTAGACGCAGGCCAGAAACTTCAAGACACAGGAATGACTGGAGGTGGGCACCTGGCATCTCACATGCATGAGGTCTGCATTACTGCAGGTAACTCCTTCACATCACAAACGTTCGAAGTGTGGACGACGACCTTTGACAATAAAATGTTATTTAACTGGATGCACAGAGCATCTACACACCTTGTGTGTGTGGTACTAAGGATCTGATCCAGACGTGCTCTATCACTGAACTGTATCCCCTTTTGTGAGGCAGGGTCTTACTGAGCTGGCCAGGTGGGACTTGAACCCCTGCTTCAGTCTTTTGAGTAGGTGGGATTACAGACATGTGGCCCCACCTGCAGCTCATCTATGTATATTTTGTACAGTTCTTTCTCATTGATCTTCTTGCCCATAAAATATACCTGTTTATTCTTTTTCTATTAAATTTGATGCTTTGGGTATTCACCACATAAAGCCCACATTTTAGGGACAAGGTAAGTAAACAGACTGACAGATTGGCTGGCCTAGACAAACAAGTAATCAAAACATACAAGCCTTTCAAATGTTCATTCATCACTCTAACTCATATGAGATGCTAGCTATTAATTACTAAACCAGCTTCTTTAAAAGGGTAGTGAACTCATCAGTTTGGGATGGCTTTGTACAGTTACTCCATACTCTCTAACTTGCAATGTATAAAATTAGTCCCTGTCAGGTTATGAAATCAACTGTTAAACTTACAAGACGACTACCCAGCTTTGGCAGGGATCCTCCTGGCACTTGGGTACTACTAGAGAGAGGGTTACATTTTAATCTACTGAATGTGCACTTTTGTAAACCTTTTACTTGACCTATTGCTTTGACTAGATTCTTCTTTCAAACGCAGCAACTGCTCATCTGGAGAAGCAAAGTACACTGATCAGACTTGGTTTTTTTCATTAAAGGTAGAATTCTGAAGCATTATTTAAAAACTAAATTTTCCTCTTTAGAAAAATTTTCCTCTTTAAAAGCAAACTATGGATAATTACTTAAACTTATATGACAACCACAGCTTTGTCAGTTCCTATCAACTGAGTGTCTCACATAGCACTTAGCTCTTCACTAACCCTTTATGAAACTCTCCAACGTCTGATATAGGGCTAGGGCTGTAGCTTGGTGGAAGAGCACTTGCCTAACATGCATGAGTTCAATCTCCAGTAAAGACAAAAGTCTGATGTGTCTGGTCAACTTATGAACATTGTTTCCAGGTTACTTGTGTCTTTTTTTTGGTCCATTAATATATTATTATTCTTATAGATATCCTGGAATCAAAGGTGAATCTGGATTTTTATATTTTTGAGACAAGGTCTTGCTATATTATTCTGGCTGGCCTCAAAATCCTGGGTTCAAACTCACTTTTTAGCTTTTCTCTTGATTTACAGTATGAGCTCAACAGAATGTCCTATAACACCTCACACAGTATTGCTTAGACAATGTGTTATAGAAAGGCTTCAATAATACCACTGGTGAACCATGCTACTTTAACACTCCTGAAAACCATGATAACTATAGAGACAGCTTCAGCTAGGTTTTAGAAATTTGCTCTAAGTCAAAAGAGTTTTTTTAAAGGCAGTTTTGCTATTGCAAGCTCACCGTGAACTCACTATGTAACCTAGGCTGTCCTCAAACTCACAGTGATCCTCCTGCCTCCCAAGTGCTGGGATTACAGGTGTGTGAGACCACGCCTGGCTAAGAACTTTTTTTTTTAAATGTAAAAGTATATATATGACCACAGCTTCAGGACGTGCATTTCCTCTATATCAAAGATTTCAAATTACGTAGAAAGCAGTAGCCCCAAAATTCAGCCTTTTTCTAGAGATAGGTATATAAGAATATTCTGACTTGCTAAATATATTTTCCAATTTTCACTGAATGTCATATGTATAAGAAAAATATAGAAACAGAAGTTCCTTTAAACTACTACATTAAAAAAAGTGAGAGAATCATACAGAATAAAAAAAAATCATTAGTAAAAATAAACACTAAACATCAATACTTATATATCAAAATGGACAGTTAGCATAATAAAGCTACATATAGTCGCAGACAGATAAAAGTATCAACTACCAAAATACTACACTGCTTTGAACTCCTCCGCCTTCCCTCATGCCTCCATCCCTTTCACACTGGGGTACCAATGCAGGAAGCTCCTGGAGGTAGCTAACCGTGCAGCAGCCCCTAAGGCAGCAGTGGCTGTGCTTCGAGGAATGTAGAGTTTCTGAGAAATCTTGTGCTCTGGAGACAAAATAAAAGACAGTTGGTCCATAGATCCTTGACTCTTGTCCTTGAATGGGGTAGTATTACTACTGGAAAAATCTTCATTCTTTTGGCTCTCTGGAGAGCTTTGCACTGAAAAAGAAACACAAGTCTTTTCAAGGGGTTCAAGGGGTCCTCAGAGTCACTCTTTGTCTCTCCTATTCTAGCTCTTTACCAACATGTACCACAGTAATTTTCTGTTGGGTGGTGACAATTCCCAAAGGGCAGTCAGGAAATAAGACTCAGAAACAAGCCGACAAATGAAGAGGAAATGGTGATGGGGAATCATGTGTCGAGATAGAACAGCTTCTCGTCAAGATGAGAGCCACGAGAAGGGGAAAATGGATTCATGAACGAAGAAGGGAAGACTGGATAAAATCAAATCCCAGAGAAGAGCTCACAAGCTCCTCTATTTTCTTCCAGCACTGAGACAAAATGGTGTCAACAGGCTTTCTCTACTGCCAAAGTGGGTCCAAGTCTGCACCAGTATAAAAACCATACCGATCTGATTGCTAACAAGTACCAAAAGCAGTAGCCATAAGATGACTGTCTTAGGCATTAGTTTTAACTATGAAGAAAACATCCTTTAAATGGAGTTTCTGGAATTCCAGTGCCCAATTGTTCCTAAGGGCTAAGGAGGGGGACACCAATCATGCTCAGATGAATACTCTAGACCAGTGCTAGCCAAAGCAGCTGGTACGACCAGAGTAGGGGAAGTTTTTGGTGACATCTCAAGAAAGACGTTTTAAAAAGAAAAAACCCAGGTGATCTAAACAATGTGCTCAGCAGTGTACTTGCCGCTGATTTAACATTCTGGCACAAGCTCCTTATTGTGTCATCTACCGTGCATTCTGCACAGATTGGCACTGCTCTGTCTTAGCATGGATTTCAAAAAAAGAGAAAAAGTAAGCGTAAGTCCAATCTTTTATTCAGCTTTGCATCTTTAGCATCTAGCACTGCAGCATGTGCTCTATGCTGGTTGCATTTGTGAGGAGTTTATATACAGAAGGGCTTGACAGGGTTTCTAAAAGTGAAATTCTGATCATAGAACTATAATGCTCCAAGACTACTGAGTAGACTGGGCACAAACAACACACTTCAAGCGTCACTGTCTCCCATCATGCTCAGTGGGATCATCTAGCTGCTGGAAAACTCACTCAGGGCTCCCACTACCTCTATATTATAGAGAGTTGTGTAATTATTTCATTATATGTTACACTGTAATAATAATAGAAATAAAGTACACAATAAATGTGCTTGAACCATCCCAAACCCTTGATGTCCGAAGTCTGTGGAAAAACTATTCTACAAAACCAGTCCCTGGTACCAGAAGGTTGGGGAGTGCTATTCTAGATAAGCAATGGGTAAACAGGAAAACACATAAGGAAAATTAGAAAATATTTTGTACCAAATGAAAATGAGAATAACATCAAAAATTCATGAGATGTAGCTAAAGCAGGGTCAGAGGAAAGCCTATCATTGACATTAGTAAAAACATTTTAAAATAAATGATTTAAAAGCCAGGTGTGGTGGTGTACACCTGTAATCTCAGCACTCGGGAGGCTGAGGCAGGAGGATTGTTCCAAGTTGGAGACCATCCTAAGCTACAAAGTGAGTGCAAGGCCAGCCTGAACTGCGTAGTGAGACCCTGTTGCAAAAAGACAAAAAAACAAAAAAAACAAAAACAAACAAAAAACCCCCCCAAAAAATATAGAATTTAAGGTTTCAAAGTGAAAAATTAGAAAAAGAAGGCAAAATTAGGCCTAAAGTAAGCAGAAGGAAAGAAATAATAAAATCAATGCAGAAACCAATTAAGAAGCCCTGTAGGCACACTGAGATCAGGAGGAAAAAAGCACGTTATCAATTCAGGAAGGAGAGCATAATATATCACTAAGATTGCATTAGTGTTAAAATAAGGGTGCAATGTAAGTAATTTATGCTAACAGAATTTATAGATTAGAGGAAATAAATTCCTTGAAAGAGAAAACTAATACTCACTCATGAAGGAATTGATAACCTAAACAGCACTGTATCTAATAAAGACATATAATAAAAACCTTCCTTCAAAGAAAACTCCAAGTCCAGAGAGTCTCAATGTTGAATTCTACCAAACATTTAAGGAAAAAATACCAATTACAAACAAATTCTTCGAAAGAATAGGAGGGAACCTTTCCCAAGTCATTCTAGGAAGGCAGCATTTTCTAGAATCAGTTCTAGTGAACTTAAGAGACCATGAGCCCAATCTGCAACCCAAAACCCACTCATGTATTGCAAAGTGCCAACACTACAATTACACCTGAAGGCCAGCGCCTGGGGCAATGCTGGGTGGACCTGGCTCGCACGCTGACAGCGAGGGCTGTGTGTATCCCTTTTGGCACATGTGCCCTAGGTTCACCACCACTGCTCTAGATACTGAAATCAAAGACATTACAAACAGAACAAAAACTAAAATACCCTCATGAACATAGTCATAAAAATCCTTAACAAACCATATCCATAGTGGCACACACCTGTAATCCCAGCACTTGGGAGGCTGAGGTAGGAGGTTCACTGTGAGTTTGAGGCCAGCCTGAACCACACCCATAGCAGGACCTTGTCTCAAAAAACACACAAATACTTGACAAAATTTTAACAAAGGGAATGAAGTATATTAAACGGATAGTACCTCATGCCTGGAGGGCATTACTGTAGGAGTCCAAGGCTGTTTTAAGAATTGAAATTCTGCCTATAAATAGATGATTTTTAAAAAACAACATGATCATCTCAATAGATCTAGAAAAAGCATCTGATGAGATTCAACACTCATTCATGATTTAAAAGGATCAAAGCTAGGATAAACTGCAATTTCCTCAACTTAACAAGGGCATCTACAGTTAACATGCTTCATTCATGTAAGACTAAATGCTTACCTATGAGATCAAGAAGGCAAAGACATCACTCACATCTTCCATTCAACCCTATATCAGAGGTTCTAACCAACACAAGAAAAAGGGGAAAAGACCAACAGATACCATAAGGGTCCCCCCACAGATGGTATGTCTATCAACATAGAAAATTCCAAAGATGGTACAAAGAGCCACTATAACAAGTGAGTTTATCAAGGTTGCAGAATGTAGCAATAACACAGATGCTCCTCAAACTCATTATGTGGTTATGTCACAATCCCACTGTAACTTGAAAATACAAAAAGCATTTAATAGAAGTATAAAGAGAAACACACAGACCAACAGAATATAGAAAGTCTAGAAATAGAACTGCACATATATGGATTTTTTTTATATATATACAGATTTTTGATACTAAAGAGATAAGTGAAACAAATGTAAGGTCAACTACATATGCAAACAAAATGATCATTAATCCAGACATCATACCACACAAATTAACCCGAACTGGACTATCAATCTAATTCTTACACTGAAAACCACAAACATTTCATAAGCAGATGCAGTAGAAAATCTTAGTTACTTGGGTTGGGTAATAGGATACATAAAGCTCAAAATGTATTATAAAAAATTACCAAGTGGGCTTGATCAAAATGAACACTTTTGCTCTTCTAATGACACTGTTAAAGTAAGCCACAGGTTGGAGGAAACACACACACACACACACACACACACACACACATCCCCAGACGGATCTGACAAAGGATTTGTGTCCAGCATAAAGAACTTCCATAAGCAGATAAGATAACCTAGTTTTAACAGTCGCGTAACTAAAGAAGATATATGAATTACAAATAAGCACATGACAAGATGGTTAACATCATGGCAAACAGGAAAATGCACATTAAAAGTACAGTAATATACCTCCACATAACCACTAGACTGGAAACACTTTTAGGTAAATACTAAATAGACAAGAAATGCTACCATATAAGTGAAAGAAACCAGACATGAAACTATACATAGTACTCTGTGACTCTAGTAAAGGGAAAATGCTATGCTAGAGACCAGCCAGCTGGCAGAAGGATTAATCACAAAAGGCCCCAAGTGCATTCTCCAAGCTGATGAAAATGTTTTATATCATAATCGTACACATTTGTCAACACTTAAAGAGCCACACATTTAAAAACTAACAAATTTTTACTCTACATAAATGTGAAACCTCTGGAAAAGAAATCAAAAAAGAGAAGAGTGACAAAGCTAAAGGGAACAACTAAACCCCACAATAAGATGAGGACTTGAGATAAATGGTAAAGCCAGACGTCTTCCAAAATATATTCTGCATGAGATCAAGGTTTTTGGCAACATGGCAAAACATCATATGTCAATTGGGAGCACGCACTAGAATATGTAAACCTACCAGAAGCAGACTCTTCTTCGGGGGAGTCCACCACTGTAGGAGTTGAACTGGACACTGCTGTGGATAGCCGGATTTCTTTTGGCTGAGTCAGAATGTTGTTTGGTTCAAACTGGCTCCCTTCTGTTGACTGCTGTGACTGGATAAAAGAGATGTAAAACTTTTCCAATTTGGGCAGTGTGGCAGAATCCAAAGAATCTTCCAAATCTGTTTCCTGCAAAATGGCAGAAATAGGTGAGGGAATGAAAAAAATGTTAGCAAGAATTAAGCTCTTTTTGTTTTCTTAGATGCAAAATACAAATAGATTTCATAAGTAAAAACTCCACTTTCAAGAACCTAGACACTGAGAAAAAGCAAACCTTTTTTCTAATTGAATGAATAGCAACTTAAGGAACCTTTATTAAAGATGTATTATAAGCAAACATGGCACTGAGTGCCACCAAACACAGCTGAGGGTTGGCAGAACATGAGAAATGACATTCATTTACTGAGGACTTCCTTGTAGACACTGTTAAGTTATTTGCATGTGTTTTTAAATTTAAATATTAGAACCACCATTCTAGGTAGGTGGCGTATCTTTTACTTAGCATAATGCTTTTCAGAAAGATTAACCTACCCAATGTCCATCAGTAAAGGGCAGGGTGTAGATGTGAGCTCAAGCCAGTCTTGTTCTCTGTGCTCCATCCCACTACCTCCCAGGAAGATAAAATCCGTACCCTTGGACATCACAGTCCAGCTACCCTTGGACATCACAGTCCAGCTAGGGAGGCTCTTTATATATATAAAGAGCACTATCCTCTGTGATGTTAATATCACTAGTGTGTGCCCCATTGGGACAAAAGCTGTAACAAACTGAAGTAGTTTACAGTCCAGGATTTGCCAAAAGCCAACTGAAACAAAATAACTGTACAAACAGAAAATTTAGCCTGTATCTTTTTCAGGCTCAGTGTAATAGATATTTAGTATCAGTAAATGTTCCTTCTGGGCAAAAATATAGCACCTCATTTTCAAAGACAGGTGGCATGAATGTACACAATTATATAATATATAAATGGCTATAACTGTTTTGATAGAAAACTGAAATTCTAAAAGAATAGATGCACTGGACTGTCCAATATATTACTTTAAGAAAAAAGTCCTGGGGGGTTCATGTTTTAGCTTAGTTAATGCAACTGACATATTCAAGTTTAAAGTTTATCCTCATCTAAAATGAGGCCAAGTATCACTGAGTTCTCTCAATAAACCTGCAAGGGTAAATATTTATACTATCAAACTCTTCCCTTTTCCATTAAATTTTTTCATTTTTATTAGCACATGTCTGCCATACATAATAATTACTTGTAGGGAGTTGGTACAACTCCATTCTTTTTTCATCTCTTTTCCCTTCCTTCCCCACCTCTTTTGTTCCCCTTTCCATTTGGAAAACAGCTCACTATTTTCTATTATCTATCTTCCATTTACTCTTTATTTATACTTTGAGTTTCTCATGTAAGAGAAATCAGGCAATATTAAGCTCATGTGTCTGATTTATTGTATTTAGCATTATGGTCTCAATATGCATCCACTTTCCTACAAATGATTCAAGTTTACTCCTCTTTATGGCAGACTAGTATTCCACTGCGTATAATACCACGTTTTCTTTATCTGTTCATCTGTTGACAGAAATACAGGCCACTACCAAGATTAGACTGTTATGAACTGTGCTGCTACAACCATGGCCATGTGTGTATCACTGTAGCATGATGTCTTTAGCTCTTTTGGAAAGATTCCTAGAAGGGAAATATCCGGGTCAAATGGAATTTCTAATTTTAGTTTTTCAAAGAACCTCCATACTAATTTCCATAATTGTTGTACTACTTTACTAGTTTACTAGTTCTCACCAACAATGTAGATGGATTCCCTTTTCCCTGCTCAAACACTATAAATGTTGGACAGAAATATATTTAAAAATATTTAAAGGCCCTAGTGAACAATCAAGTCAGGCAGAATTTCAGAACATGAGGGGAGTTCCTTATTTACTTCAGTGTTTTAATGGAAGGCATTTTCCAAATCAGGTCCAGGAAATAAGGTGCAAGCAGAAGGTGGCGGTCTTACTGCATAAGGAGATAAAGATCAGAGGCTATTTTGAGGCTGATGAAACAGCCAGGTCTTGAGGGACGAAAGCAGAGCCAGCCAGAGAAAAGGGACCGGGGAGGAGTGTAACAATCTGCTTACAAATCTCTCTCAAGACCTTGAGAGAGGCTTCACATGCACAGTGTGAGATTCCAAGATATCAAAAGAAAACAGCAACAGAGAGGCTCAACATTAGCAAGGCATCAGCAGTCCTGTGACAGTCCAGTAGGAGATTTAGTCAAAAGTTCTAACATCTTACAACTGGAACTCCATAAGACAAATGATGTGAGCTCCAGATGGTATAGGCAGCCCTGTCCCTATGCCTTGCTGGTTGCAGGCTGGCTCCACTCACTGTAGCTTTTGTGAGCAGATGTTCCACATTCCTGGCATCTTCAACTTCCTAGAATCTCCACTGTAGCTTTGGCTTCACTATCATAACTTCATGCATCATGTCAGGGGTTCCAACAGTGTCATATATTTTTGCCTGGCCTCTTAGGCCTTCCTTTGAAATCTGTGTAAAAGCCTCCATGACTCCATAATGCTTAAATTCTGTAAAAACACTATCATGTAGACAAAGTTAAGGGTTAGTGAAGCAGTAGCCAAGGCGCTTTGAAACTTGGCTGCAGTGGCCTCTTAGTACTTTTCTGGCCAAACTCAAGGTTTTTCAAATCATACCCCCATGACCCATCCAGACATACAGTATGCTCTACTAATTTCCTAGGCAACTCTGAAATCAGTCCAACTGATAGTCAAAACTAATGGTTACACTTTCCCTTGCAACCGGGTCAGTTTATCTTGGGTAGGAAAAAATAGCCTGGCATCCAAACTATTTTTTCAGATCCAAGTTTGCCATTAATGAAGTTGCCATTAATGAAGGAGACCCAAGAAATTTGAAAGCAGCTGTAGGCCCCTCTCATACAATGCAACTGTGTCTAGTATATACCTGGTACATGATACCCCTATGATAGAGGCTGCCTCTATAAGCACTCTAGGGAAGACGCACGTTGCTTGGAACCTCTAGTCTCAGACTCCTCAAATTCATAGAAATCAAGCAGTAGAGGATGTGACAGAGAGTATAAAGCACATGGTATCTCTCTTTTCTTCTTCCTCAACACACTCCCTCCTGCATTTGAGAGCATGTATAAGAAAGGAAGAAAAACACACTTTCTGTGATACTCCCTGAGTAAATAAGTTGTGTCAGATATGTTACTACTTTAATCTTGAGATTAGAAAAGCTACCTGTCTACACAACAGATGCCCTTTGTGTTACTGCCAGAGGAAGTACAACTGGTAATTTTAGCGGGCCAGGCGGAAAACATGAATCAGTGAAAAATGTAAGTGACCTTTTAAGCCACTCTGTTCTCAGAGCTGTGGATACTAAACAGACCTTTACAACCTCAGGTGACTAGAGCCATGGGAAGTGTTTTGGATCATTACTTTTTTTTCCTTGTAAGCAACACCAAACCTTGACTTTAATAAGCAAGGAGTTTCCAAACCCTAGTACAGGAGAAGCTGTTTCTTTCCTCTGCCTCCTCTCTTGCCTTATGATAGGAAACTGTTCTGATGACTTACGATCTTTTGGGAGAATTCTTAATGGAGAAATGTCTATACATATCTACCTACTCAGTCTTCCTCATAACAGGAATAGCTCATTAACTTTATTGGAAGCACAAGAACTGCTAGTCCACATTTATTTGCTAGACAAAACTCATGCTGTTAAAGGTTATCACTCTGGTGTGGCTAGTCTAGTTCTTGCTGCTTGACTAGGGTCAGGTTGTTCTATGCTTTCAGTATCTTATGCAGTGAGCAGAATGAAGGTGCTGAGGATTTTCCTGCTCTCCCTTGCAACCGGGTCAGTTTATCTTGGGTAGGAAAAAATAGCCTGGCATCCAAACTATTTTTTCAGATCCAAGTTTGCCATTAATGAAGTTTGTATTATAATCCCCATTTGGACTGAGTCTATTTTCATTTGATGAAACAATATAAAAAGGAGAAAAGGGAGAGCAGACAGATACACATGTGCTATCGCCTTGCACAGAGTTATTAAGAACAATGAGCACATGAAGAAGTATCAGTTGCTTTACAAGCATTTTACCAGCACAGAAAGGAGATTCCAGAGCATGGCAACTCAGATCAAATACTCTTGAGCCATACTACCTGAGTTTGAATCCCAGCTCTGGCACTTACTAGCTCTACGACCTTAGACTAGTCACCTAATTTCTCTGTGCCTCAGTTCTGTCACCTGTAAAACAGAGATAATAGTACTTGCCTCAAAGGATTTTGTGGGGATTAAGTGAGTTAATATTGATATAAAGGTTTTAGAATTGTGTCTAGTACTTATTAATAATCTGTATTATTATTTTAGGACATTCAAACAGAAGTATCCTTGTATTATTATATAAAAGGTGCAAGGAAGAAGCCTGACACCAATTGGTAAACTCTGGAATTGAGTTTCCTAGTTTGAAATTGTGAGATGTAAGATGGCTATTATAATCTGGAATTTATTTGTGTTGTACCATGCCAGAAATACTCTCAATAATGCTAAGTATAAACAAGAATCTATAAACTATGTGTGTCAATATAATAATTGAGTTCTTTCTAACTTATGGTTTACTACCTAGAGAAAATATTTTACCATATTAATATTTTAATAGTCACTGTTCTAAGTAAAAAGATGACACAAAGAGAGGATACATGTTTGTGAACATTTATCTTCACTGTATATGCAGAGAAATATTAGAACCAGTGGCAGAAATGGGAAAACTCAAACTTAATTGTAAATTCCTTATACAGTTGCGATGCTGGTTTACCTACCCTCACACCTGTTTCCCCTATGGTGCTGGGGATTGAAATTAGGGTCTTGACATTCTAAACATGCTCTCAGAGCTACACCCTCAGTACCCCTCACTGTCAAACTTTTTTTCTCTGTGGAGTTTTACCTCAGCTAAATTGTTTTACCTCAGTACTGTTTGATTCCTGTTTCTCAAGGCTGAAAACAGAACGTCTTAAATTTTGTATCTCTTGCATTTTACAAGATAGGTTTCAGAGGAGAATACTTCTTCCTAATATCCCTTTTCTAGTTCATATTTATTCCAATATCAATCTTTACTGTCCCATATTTACCCAAGACCAAGTAAGCCTTATTTTGTGGGTAGAAATGAAACTGCTCATAAGAAAACAAGAATCCAGGTTTTCTGCTCATAGAACTATACTTTCCAGTATAAGCAAATGATAATAGTTTTTTCCATGTATCTGGCTTTAAAATATTACTATATTTTAATATTGAAATGTATTCATAAATAGCCAGTCTCTGGGATTTATGATAAACAATGCTACAAAAATTATTAACATTATCTACATTATTTATGTACACGAGCTCACTGCCAACCTACAAAGGCCTAAAACAAAAAGTGCAAGGTCTTCCTAACATTCCTTAAAGTACCACTGTATACATTTGGGTCTAGGATAGTTGAGATTCTCAACAATAACATGGAATCCACCTTACCAGAGATGAGAACTTTACAACCTGTACAATGTAGACAATATGCTATAATGAAGTCTATGAAGAAGGGTAATGACTTGATTTAAAAGTTAACTTTGGCCAGGTGTGGTGGTGCACACCTGTAATCCTAGCACTTGGAAAGATGAGGCAGGAGGACTGTTGCGAGTTTGAGACCAGCCTGGGCTATAAAATGAGCTCACAGCCAGCTTGAACTGCATAGTGAGACCCTGTCTCAAAATGACAATCAATCAATCAATGAATCAATCAATCTTAAGTTAGTTGTATCTCCAAAGTGAAACAGGGTAAGTAGTCTTAGATTAGGAACAGAAAAAAGGGTAAGTAAAACTTTGAGAAGAAAATACTCCTTAAGAATACCTTCAGAAATTCATGATATAGTAAATAATTATTTACCCTCTTAAATACTCTTCACAGGAACATATTATAAAACTACATGAGAGAAAAAGTTTGAGGACTCATACTTATTTCAAAAGTTTAAAAAACTAAAGTCATTAGGACAATATAATTACTGGTATAAGAACAGACACTTATACAGTACTAAAACATCTATGGTCAACTGAGTTTTGATAAACAGGTAAAAACAATTCATAAGAAAAGAATCTTCTTTTTAATATTTAATACTTAAGACAACTGGATCTTCATCTGCAAAATAAGGAAAAGCTGGGCCCTTAATCTCATACCATAACAAAAATTATCTTGAAATAGATCAAAGGCCTAAATGTAAAAGCTCAAACTATAAAACTCTTAGAAGACAGCCAGGCATAAATCTTTTCAACCTTGGATTAGGCATGATTTATAGATGTGATATCAAAAGTTTAAGCAACCAAAAGAAAAAAATTGGATTTAATGAAAAACCTTTATGGTACAAAGGACACATAAGAAAGTAAAAAGACAGCCAAGAGAATGGTAGAAAATTTTGAAAACCATATTATCTGATATAGAACATGTAATAAAGTATTTTACTATTACAACTGAATAATAAAAAGACAACACACTTAAAAATTGGAGAAGAATCTGAAAAGATATTTTTTCATAATAAGCACAACAACTGCTTATCAATAACCATCACAGATGTGCACGTCAAAACAATAATGAGATACACTCATATGCATTAAGTATAGGTGAAGAGTGGAGAATTTGGAGCCCTCATCACTGCTGGTGAAAATATAAAATGGTTCAGCTGCTTGGAAAACTGTATGGTAATTCCACAAAATGTTAAAAAACAGAGTTACCATATGACTCAGAAGTTCCATTCATATATATATATATATGTCCACACACTATATTTGAATGTTCTCTGCTGCATTATTCATAATTAAGCCAAAATGTGAAAATAGTTCAAATTTCTATGAGCTGATGAACAAATAAAATGTGTTACAGTGTACAACAGAATATTATCTAGTCATTAAAAATGAAGTACTCAGCTGGGCATGAAAGTATACATAATCTCAGTATTTTGGGAGGCTGAGGTAGGAGGATGACAAGTTCAAGCCCAGCCTAGGCAAACTAGCGAGACTGTCTTGGTTACTTTCCTCTCGTTGCTGGGACAAAACACCTGACACCCAAAATTAAGGAAGGAAAGGTTTATTTCGCTTACAGTTTATGGACGTTTCAGTCCATACTTGGCTGGTTACAAGGCACAGTGGCACATGGCAGAGGGCTACAATTCATGGAGGCAGAACACAAGCAAAAACAAGCACAAAAGGGAGGAATGGTCGCAAGCAGCCTCTTTCTCTCCTTTACATATGCAAACTACCTGCCCCAGGGCAGGTGTAGCTCTCACACCCATGATCAATCACACTCTAAAAGCCAGCCCCAAGACTGCATGAGGCTTTGGGGGTACACCCAGACACAAACCGTAACAGAGACTCTGGCTCAAAAATAAAATAAATTTACAATAAAAGGGACAGGGATCCCGCTCAGTGTGAAGACCCTGGGTTCAATACCCAGTTTAATATGTTCTCACCAGCTTAAACCACCAACGGTTATTTCACTTAAAATTATGTTCTCAAGGTGCAACCACTGGTGGTGGTTCAAGCTATCTGGCAGTGTGGCATTATGTGTTAAAAAATCTACAACATGGATGAATCTTGAAAACATTATGCTTAGTGAAAGAAAATGATCACAAAATAGCATATATAGTATATTAGGGCATTTATACGAGATGTCTAGAACAAGTAAATCTTTGAGAAAGTAAGCAAATTGGTAGTCACTTAAGGCTACGGGAAGATGCAGAAGGAGTCTAATGCTAATGGGTATGGAGTTTTTTCCTAGGGTGATAAAAATGTTATAGAATGAATTATAGTATGACTATACAACTCTCTGTGATAAAAATGTTATAGAATGAATTATAGTATGACTATACAACTCTCTGTACATCAAGTTGTGCACTATAATGGCATATTACTTACATTTCAGTAAAGCTGTAATTTTTTCCTCTCATTCTTTTTTCTAATCTCTCTTCCCTTCCTCCCCTTTCCATTTGAACATTTTCTTCCTTCTTCCCCGTATTTATCTCCCATTTTGGTCCTTATTTACCCTTTGAGTTTCTCACATCAGAGAAATAATGTGGTATTTAAACATGAGTGTCCAATTTACTTCACTTAGAATTATGTTCTCAAGGTGCATCCACTCACCTAAAAATGTCCCAAGTTTATCCTTCTTTATGACAGGTACTACTCCACTGTACATAAAAAATAGATTTTCTTTATCCATTCATCTATTGATGGGCATATGGGTTGTTTTCAAGATTTGGCTATTGTAAATTGTGCTTCCATAAACATAAGTGTGCATATATTACTGTTGTATGATTGAAGCTGTTATATTTTAAAGCTACATAAGTATTATATTTGGATCTAAAATGTCCATCAAAAATCTTGTTTGGGGGGCTTAGTTGACATCTGATGGGCTTTTGGAAGGTAACTGGATCAGGAGGGTTCTAACTTCATCAGTGGATTAACGCATCGGTGGATTCATAATTGGATGGCATTATTAGAAGGTGGGTCTAGTTGAAGTGAGTCATGCAGGCATGACCTTGGAAACCATGTCCTGTCCTAGCCCCTTCCTCTCTAGTTCCTTCTGGCTGTATTCCTGGCTGCCATGAGATAAGCAGTCCCCTTCATCACCAACCACTAAGAGACGAACCATCAATCACAATTTTACTGCCTAAGAATGAAAGTACTTATTCAAAATTATCACAATAACACTCATTAGACATTTACCGTTTCAATGTTGGTTGGGCTAGTATTTCTTTCTTGAGCATCCAGCCCTTCTGGTTTTTGAATTTCTACTTTTATTCCATTCACAAGGCCTGAAGGCTGCTGTGAATCCTCCCATTTATCTTTGGATGGAGAAAAACAATCCTATAAAAAAAAGAAACTACAAAATAAACTGACAGTGACATATGATCCAAAAGGACAATGCAGCAAAGGTAAAAAAGTAATGTACATTAAACATGAAAAGGTATTTATTAACTTTCTATATTAGTGTCACTTTACTCCTTGTTTTAATGGCTTGTATCCAGTATCTTGAACTCCTCTGAATATTGGGATCTCATAACTATAATCCTGTTTGGGGAATGTAAGACCATTTCCATGTCAAGATGATTTTTCATAATCTAATAGTTAAAAAGGCAGACATCAACTGGAGCAATTTAACTACAGGTATTTCTAATTATAACCAATGGAAAAAAATTTCAGTTATATGCCTAAATATTAGCTAAAACTCTGAATGGACAGTACCAAGATCATATTACAAGACTAATGCAACAAAAATAAAATTAGAGAAAAGTTTATTTATAGATCATAAATCTCTGAGTAGGAGCCAACAATACAACAAAAAACACAATGCTTGAAAGAGCATATATGCATAATAAACTTGTTGTTTATTCTCTGCTACATCCTGTGACCCATTACCTACTGCTATCCTTTACACACATACACAAATATAAATCATATAATCTTTTGAATTATAGCCTAACAAATCCTTTTGAATTTCCAAATATATAGCTTCCTTGAGGCTCAGACAACTAAATTTCATCTTCTCAAAAGCAATTTGTTTTGTATTACCCTAAGTATCTAACCTTTTGTCTTATTTCTTCACATAATAAATATTTTTTCCTTCCACCAACGCTTGAGGTAAATAGATGGGAGACAGCATCACCTTCCTTTTCCATTTTCAGCCAGTTCTCATCCCAAATATCATCACCTATAGTCACTGACTCCAGGCATGGCATGCCAGTGGGGATCTCATCCTAAAATGTATCAGAGAACAAATAAAAACTATCATTTATAATTTCTATCTGAGCACATTTTAAAATTCAGGTTCACACTTTTTTCCTGACTCCCAAATAAAGGTGGCAGTTTGAATACACAGATTTGTTATTCATTCCCACCTAATGCGCTACTAAAATAAAAACAGATATTTAAGGTATAAACTTTATGGTAAGAGAGAAAAGAAAACACCTACATCTTAAATACAGGATAGCAGACACTTGATTAAGGATAGTAGACAACTGATTAAGAAGTCTTAAGCTGGCAGTGGGAAAAACTGAGAAGCAACCCATATTTATACTAGAGATATAATAAAAACTCAGGAACTTTACTACAAGGCTTTTAGAAGGAAGAAAATAAAACGGGAATGAAAACGAGAGTACTCATTGAAAGCATGAGAAGCAGTTAGATCTCGAGATAGCATTCTATTCCAAGGACTCTATTCCATATCCCTTCTACCTGCTAGAAGAAGGTCTTCTGGAGAGTCAAGAGGGATTGTTGAAGGATAAATCTGAGGTTAAGCAAGCAGAATGAAAGAGAAATTAAGTGAAGACTTTTATCCTGAATATTCAGACTCTGGCCCTTTATCATTGCAAGACAGAGACAAGTGGAAAGAGCACAGGCAGAGCTATGAAGATTATCCAGTCTGAATAGAAGGACACAAGACTAGAAAAAAGCCTCTAAAAGGATTCCCAAAGACTTGTAGAACAGCATGGAAATAATTAACGTTTCTACCATCAAAACTCCAGAAGAGTAGAAAAATGTAGAAAAATAATTAGGAATAGGGCTAAATCAAAAGACAACATGAAAATAAATATAGAAAGACCTTAATTCAAACTGATAAAGGGCACTTATAATAAACTTACCGGTAACATCATACTAAATAGAGAAAAAAAACATTCTCTAAAATCAGGAACAAGATCTAGGCATCCACTTCCACCACTCCTCTTCAGTTAGAGCACTTGAAACTTTAGCCACAACAATCGGGCAAGAGAAAGAAGGAAAAGTGGTATGAATAGGAAAGGAAGGAGTCAAGCAATCCTTATTTTCAGATGACATGATCTTTTACAGATAAGACATCCCCAAAAAATTCGACCAGATGACTCTTCAGTAAAGTGGAAGGATACCAAGTCAACTCACAAAAATCAGTACCATCCTTGTATACCAACAATGAACTCAGTGAAAAAGAAATGAGAGAAATAATCCCATACACAGTAGCTTAAAAAAAATGAATACCTAGGAATTAACCAAGGAGGTGAAAGACCTCTCTGTAACAAAAACTATAGTAGGATGAAAAAAGGATTGAAGACAACACTAGAAAATAAAAAACCATTCTCTGTTCCCTCAATAGGCAGAACTAAAGTCAAAACGGCCATATTACCAAATATGACACATAGATATATAATGCAATTCCAATTGGAACATCAACAATATTCTTCACAGAACTAGAAAAAAAACCTTAAAGTTGTATGGACCAAAAGAGACCCAAAATAGTCAAAGTAATCTCAAGCAAAAGGAGCAAAGCAGGAGATATTACAACTCCAAATTTCAATAGTGCAAAGCTACAGTAATAAAAACAGCATGGTGCTGGCACAAAAAGTTGAGCAACGAAACAGAACTGAGGATGCAGAAACAACCCCATGTATCTTCAGCCATCTAATCTTTGACAGAGGGGCCAAAAACATATACTGGAGAAAAGATAGCTTCTTTAACAAACAGTACTTGAATAACTTGGCAATCCAAGTGCAGAATGAATTTAGACCCACATCTCTCACTTTGTACTAAAATCAAAATGGATCAAATACCCAGATATAAAAATAGAAACACTGTATTCTGTCAAAAGATAAAATAGGCAAAACTCTAGAAGACATAAGCATAGGTAAGGACTTTCTGAAAAGAAATCCAATTACACAAGAAACAACACTCAACAAATTGGATGTCAAATTACAATGTTCTGCACAGCAAAGGAAACAATCCAGTGAAAAGATAATCTACAGAAAGAAAACTTTTCCAGCTACTCCTTGGACAGAGGACTAATATCTAGAATATAAATAAAAAATTAGACTCCCCAAAAGAAAAGACTCAACAAAAAAAACTGGGCAATTGAACAGAGACTGCTCAAAAGAAGTAGCACAACTAGTAATAATACATGGAACAATGTTCAGCAGCTTTGACCACTAAAGAAATGCTAAATCAAAACAACACTAATTCCATATTAGTCTAGTAGGAATGGCTATCATCAAGAACTTAGAAAACAACAAATGCTGGCAAGGATGTAGGGAAAAGGAATTCTTCTATATTGTGAGTGGAAATGTAAACTGGTACAACCATTATGGAAATCAGTGTGGAAATTTCTCAAAAAACTAAAAATAGAAATTCATTTAACCTAGCTATCCATCTTCTAGGTATCTTACTGAAAAAATTAAAGACATCATACTACAGAAATATATGCTTACCCATGTTTATGGCAGTACAATTCATAATATCTAAATTATGGAAGCAGCTTTTATGTCCATCAACAGATGAATAAAGAAAATGTGGTTATATACATATATATATATACACACATATACATAAATACATATACACATACAATGGAATATAACAACCATAAAGAAAGATACATTTGAATATTCATAGGAAAATGGATGAATCTTGATAACAAAATGCAAAGTGAAATAAACCAGACATAGAAGGTTAAATATATTGTTTCTCTTATATGAGAAATCCAAAATGTAATTAATTTGAAGAGCAAAATAAAAGAGTGGTAGAAAACTGTGCAGGAGACTTTCAGAGTTGGGAAATCACCTGGGGAAGGGGAATGGAACAGGGTGGGGGGAAGGGTAGTAAAAGCGATTAGGATGTGAATATGAGTATATAGACACACACACACATACATAACATATATATTTATATCTATCTATCTATATATATCTAAAATCAAAACCAATACTCCTAGATGAATGTAATTATTCCATTGCAAACATATAGTAATAACAAAAAAGTATGGCTAAAACCTTCCAAAATTTGATAGAAGACATAAATGTACCAGTTTAGCAAACCCCAAGTAGGACAAACCAAAGAAATCCATGATTTAGACTATAACCAACCTACTGAAATTAAAGGCAAAGAAAGCATAACATGTTCTTTACAGGAAGACTATCTAATTATGGTGATTTTTGCATCAGAAACCATTAAGACCAGAAGGAAGAGAATTGAGAAGCTGAAAGTGCTAGAGAAGAAAAGAAATGGCAAATGACATTTCTATATCTGGCAAAAATGTTTTTCATATTTTTAATATTCTTTAGGATTTAGAATGAATATATTGCCAGTGAAGAAATCTAAATAACTCACTATCAGAAGACCTACCTATTCTCAATGAATTGGTAAAGGAAGCCCTTTGGACAGAAAGAGAACACCAGAATGAAATGCTGGATGTGGGAAAAAGGGAAAGCAACAGAAATAAAATGGGTAAATAGGATATACTTATTCTCCTTTTCAATTTTTTTAGAATATGTTTTTAGAACATATAAAGGTAAAAAGCAAGAAACAAATTTTCAGTGTATGCAGGTGTAATACACATGACAAGCACACAATAAAGGGGGCAGGAAGGGGTAAAATGTTTATAGGGTGGTAAGAAATAATGTTATTTGGTGGTAAGTTACAGACTAAGTCTACTATAAATAGTAAAGGATGTATATTATAATTCTTAGAGTAACCACTAAAAAGCACTTGAAAAAGTAACAGATTAAGTAAAAAACTAAAAAATGTTCCAATATCCTAGAGGTGGGAGGAAAGTGAAAGCTAAGGAACAAAAATCAGGAAAATAAAGAAACAATACGGTGAATCTAAAATCAAAACAATCACATGAAATATAAATATCTAAACATACTAATTAAAATTCTGATTGTTGGAATGGATTTTTATTTTATGAAACAAAATAATGAGATTAATAATAGTTAACAAACTGTGTACTGGTATCTTCAAAGTACTACTCAGAGTACAAGACATGGACAAAGAAGATTCTTAAGAAATGTATTGGCACAAAACCTTTTCAATGAACTAAGAGAAACTAGTAGTATAAATGAAAACAATATACATTATATATTTGGATTGCAAATAACTTGTTCCATGAATGTTCTGCAAGATGAGCAAACATTTCTAATAAATTCTGACATGATAAACGAACAATACCATGCAATATGGGTAGTGCGTGACACCAAACGTCACATGATCACAACTGAGCCAGTGGTCCCTCCACCCAGGCTGCTCTAGGACTGTGGGTGATTGGCTCCCAACAGCAAGAAGATACGGAGAGCTCCTCTGCAGAGGAGGAGAAAAAGCCAGAGAAATTCCTCATTTCATGAGATTAGGGAGAGGTGTAAAATGTGAGAAACTGCAAAATTTTGTAGAAAAGCACTACACAAATAAGGCTGTAGCAGTGCAGACAGTAAATCTGTTTAATGACAATGCAATGTCACATTTCCATGAAATCCTCAAAATTTCACAAAATTTCAGTAAACGGGTGGAGTAAGTTCAAGGGATCTATTGTACATTTTGGTGACTACAATCAACAACAATAACAGACTATGAAAACTGGTAAAAATAAACCCTAAGTATCTCTACCACAAAAAAACGTATGTGAGACAGATACATAAATAGACTGACTTAGTTATTCCACAATCTATATATATAAAATCAATCTATCCTTGTCAATTAAAAAAAAAAGTTCCATAAAAATAAAGCAAAAAAGGAAATAAAATCACTTTAACATAATCTTCGCTAGAAAATAGCAAAGGGGCAATACTTCCAGACTCATTTTACGAGGCCAATATTATCTTGATTAGCATTAAAAAAGCAAAGGCCAACACAAGAAAACTACGAACTAATAGTTCTCATGAAAACAGATATAAAAGTCTTCAACAAAAGATTAGCAAATTGAATCTATCAATATAGAAAAAGAATTCAATATAGGTATGTGGGGTTTATCCTAGTAATGGCAAACTAATTCAATATTCGAATATTAATGTAATACACTGAATTAATAAAATAAAGAAGAAAACAATGCAGAAAACAATTTAGTAAAATTCAACAATGAATCATAAAAATCTTTCAGCATGACATAAGGATATCCTCTCTTGCATTCCTTCAACATCACATTTGAAATCTTAGCCAATGTAATAATAAGACAGGAGGATTAAAAAACATTCTAGAAAAGAAGAAAAAAACTATCAATTTGTGGAAAATGACACCTATGTAGAAACCTAAAGGAACTACAAAGGATACCAGGTCAAAACAAAAAAAATATTTTTATATATTAACAATGAAAATAATTATTACTTGAACAAATTACTTAGGTATAAAGCTAACTGCACACATACAGTTCCTACATACAAAAGTCTTATTACAAAGAAACAAAACAAAACCTAAACTAACGGGGAGTTGTAGACTATGTTCAAAAATTAAAGATAAACTTCCCTCAAATTTTTCTATATATTTAAAACAATTCTGATCAAAACTGCAGATGTAGATAAGGTGATTCTAAAATTTATAAGGGAAATCTAGAGACATTCTGAAGAATAAAGTGGGGGGAATCTTATTTCCTGATTTTAAGGGGTACTATAAAGCCAGTAATCATGACAGCATGGTATTACTAAAGAGAAAGACATATAGATCAATGGAGTACAATACAAACTCAAGAATACTCATCAACAACTAATTTTTGATAAAAGTTTTACAGGCAACTCAGTGGAGATAGGATAACCTCAATAAACGATGCTAGAACTGGATATCCATATGCAACGAAATGAATCCTATCCTAACCCTCCACCTTGTACTAAAATTGAGATTTCTCAACAATGCAAACACTGTACAGAACAGAAAAAAAGGTGATACACTGGAATTTCTCAAAATGAAAAACTAGCTTTAAGTGCAACACAATTAAAAGAATGAAATAAAAAGTGCTATATGTGGAGGAATATATGTGAAAGTTACATATCTGATAAACACTTAGCAAACAAATAACCCAATTAAAAATGGGAAAACGACAAACAGATGTTACACCAAGAAGTATGTATGGACAGCAAATAAGCACATGCAATGATGTTCAATATTACTAGTCATTAGAGAAATGCAAATTAAAGCCATACTGTGATACTACTCTACACCAATTAGAATGGCTAAAATAAAACTTGCTGGCACTATTGAGTGCTGACAAAGAGGTGTAGCAAGTGAACTCTTACATGCTGGCAGGAAGGCATAATGGTACAGGTTTTCTGGAGAACAACTGACAAACATTTAACACACGACCCAGAAAATTTACTCCTGGGTATTTTCCCTGTATGAATGAAACTTAAGTTTACAAAACCTGTACAGTAAATACTTTGAACTATTCTATTCATAATTACTCAAACTGTAAACAACTCAAGGTTGGTGAAGAAATATACAAACTATGGTATATCTATATAATAAAAAAGCATCCAGCAGTCAAAACCTTTGATTTGAACTGATATGCCAAGTACTTGGGTGAGTCTCCACAGTACTATATGCTAAATGAACCTGTCTCAAAGGTTATATAATAGCCCTGAAAATATAAACCAGAGTGAGAGAAAAGTCAATGGTTGCTAGGGGTCAGCAACACAGGGAGACATTATAAAAGGACAGCTACAAGGGAGTTACTTCAGGTGACGGAGCTTTTTTTCATCCTGATTGTGGTATTAGCTGCACGAAATTGCACAGGTATTAAAACTGACAGGTATACCAATAGAAACTCAATCTTGCTGTATATTAATTTTAAAAGAATGAAACATTAACACAAAAGTTATGAAGGAAAGGAAAAGGTGTCATAGCATTTACATAGTCATAATAAATACTGTGTGGTGATCTAATGGAAAGCTTGATGTATTATTAGACAGAAGGATAGTGGGGGAGGGGACACAAAGGCTGTATTTGTGGTGAGATGAAGAGATGAAAGAGAGCTAAACTTTCATCTTTCACTGTGGGAAGTTCATAGATACTTAAAACTGAAAAATCAGGAAATGTAAGTATGGTGTTCAATGAAAGAAACAGATATAAATTCTAAAAGTAGCAGCTAAAAGAGATGTAAACAGTTATTCTGGGAAACAGAAAATGTAGGAGAGGTCAGGCATACTGCAGGCTATATGTACATAATCATTTGATTAAGGCAAAAATACATCCTCCAAAAAAGTTGTAAGTACCTTTCCTGGTGGGCTTTACCTAAGCAATGCATAACTCTTGAAGACAGCCCAAAGCTGCGGGACAGTAATCCACCCATCAAAGTCAGACAATGCCTTTTTCTTTTCTGTGATCAAGGTTATGATGCTACAACATTGGACTCAGGGACTGCTAAAGAGAGAGATGGTCTGTGACACTGAAAGCACTGGGGCTTAAAGAGCTATTTTATTCCCGTTCTCTTTATTTGGAATTAATTATATTCCTGTAATTATGTTTTTTGTTTTTTTTTTTTAAAAACTACTTTGCCTTCTCCTACCTCACTTTCTTCCTTCCGATCCTTTGGCTCTGTGATGGACCACTTTGGATCATCTTCATAGTTCTTCAGAGTTTTCAAAGAATTGAATTCTGAATCCTTTAATGGCTCCTTTGACACAGACTTAAGGTGATTTAAAGACAGATTACCATTAACAGATTGCTAGTAGACAGAAAAGCTGTATTATTTTGTCTTCTATGTTATAATGCTGTTTCCAAAATTTACATGCCTATAAATTTTTTTTTTTTTTTTTCCTCCGGTACCGGGAACCGAACTCATGACCTTGCGCTTGCCAGGCAGGCACTTTGCCGCTGAGCTAAATCCCCAGCCCCTACATGCCTATAAATTTTGCTGGTAAGTTTTCACTATGGTTCATACAAAAGCTACTTTTTAAAAAAACTTTATCCATGACCCTTGACCTTCCAATTATGTTAAACAATTTCAGGTGACAGTCTTTTTTTTTTTTCTTTTTTTGAGATAGGGTCTCACTATGTAGGCCAGCCTGGCCTCCAACTCATTGTGATACTCCTGCTTCAGCCACCCAAGTGTTGGGATTACAGGCATGCAACACTATGCCTAGCTGTTAACAGATATTGAGCATAAACTGGGATACTTTGTGTAAGAGGTCAAATGTGTATAGGACAACTCTTTGGATGTAAAGAATGCATCAGGCCACTGCTCTAAAGGAACTAAAAAGTGAGAAAACATATAATCAGGTCATTATAGTGTGGTCTTGAGTACACCCAGCACAGAGATATACTGAAAGTATTATTGAGGGAGGATGTCTTAGAAGAGGCAATGAAGAAGAAAATACAAACTATTAGAATGCTTAAAGGCCTATTAGGATTAGCAAGGTACTGCATGACAGGTGGTGTGTGTGTGTGTGTGTGTGTGTGTGTGTGTGCATACGACAGCCTTGCTACATCAAAATACAGACTATGGTAGGATACCACACTTTTATCTTCTTCTCTTTTTTTTTTGGTATCAGAAACTGAACTCAGAACCTTGTGCTTACCAGGCAGGCACTGTGCTGCTGAACTATATACCTGGCCCTATCTTCTCTTGTACAGAAAAGACAGTCACATTTCTAGGACTAAACTATGATTATCTGAAGACATACACAGACAAGGTATTCTAAAAATGTTAAAGGCTGATTCGCTGTTTAAGATGAGGAAATATTCTTTTACTCCAGTAATAACTTTAGGCCCATAATGGGCCAAACAAACCAAATTAATTTGATATTAACTAGAAAACTTTGTATCATTTTGAACTCACAGCAAGAAATATGTGTATTTAGAATCAGAGGTTAATCTCAGTAGTCAAATGGTCTTGATTTTTTAACTTTTTATTAATAAACAAACATCTACTTTAAAACCTCATCATCTCTATAACTTTAAATGTCAGAGGTATAATACAAATTAAACAAAAATTTTTACATTTTATTTAAAGAAAATTTTAAAAGGCTTATGTAGCAAAAACCAAAACATTTTAACTCTCAAATATAGACTAGAACTCACAGTGATACTCCTGTTGTCCAATAGCTATTGTCATGACAAGTATTGGATTCAGAGTACATTTTATTTGTTCAAGAAACATTAAATTTTACTGGGTACTCTACTGTCCATTTATCTATAAGGCGCCAACTTGGTGAAGGTGTTATGAAGATTAAATGAGCTAATATATATGCACTTAGAACAGTGCCAGTGATGTAATATAAGTTTAATAAACATTATTACTTAGTTGAGAAAAATACGTAATAAAATATTATAATATTATTATTACTGTGAGGTGTTGGCAAAATGTTTATTGAGAAAGAAAGAAATAAGATTTGGAAAAAGCACCTGAGTAGTACAGGAGGAAAAAGACTAGCATTTGGACTGTATGGGAAGTCATAATTAGAAAAAGGAAGCAAGGGAACTTAATACAGAGAGAAATCATCCAAGAGGAAGTATGGCTAATATATAGGCTTAAACCAGCAAATAATGAGAGACAAAGTAACTGTTAAGATCACCGTGCAAAATTTCCAAACTTTCCTAAATTTTAAAGCTTCAGTTCCCTCATCTATAAAATGAGGATAAATACAGTTAATAATAGAAATTATAACAGTATTGCAAAAACCTCTTACCAGGGTATGTAATTCACTGTCTTTGGATTGTGGACTTATCTCTCGGTCTTTATTAAAATAGTGGTGCTGGGAAAGATAACCCAGTTCTGCCATGTCAACATCATCCGGCCCACCACTGGATTTAGTGTATAAAGCTAAAGGGTTTAGGTCTCTGAAGCCCTAAGATTAAAAATAAAACATAATAAAGAGGAGGAAGGGTTTAATTATATAATGAAGACAGAAAAGGTGAAAAAGCACTTCATAATTTTCAAATGCCATGGAAATACACTATTTTCTTTTTTTTTTTTTTTGGTTTTTCTCCGGTACCAGGAACCGAACTCAGGACCTTGCGCTTGCCAGGCAGGCGCTTTTGCCGCTGAGCTAAATCCTCAGCCCCGAAATACACTATTTTCTAAAATTCAATAGTTAAGTTTCTCCATACTGACACTTACCTAGTTACAAAAATTAACATCAATATTGGCAATGACATAAATATTATCAATAATTGTAAAATAAAAGTGTTTCTCTCTAGAATAACTTTAGATAAAATATTTTGAGGTAAGAGAGAATAATCAATCATTTATTTAAAATAAAAATATTCACATTCTAAAGAACAATTAACCAAATGTGACATTTGTATGGTCATAGGAAAATTAAGACAGTACTCCTCATAAGACCAGGAATCTAATGGATGGTTTCACGATAAAAGAATAAATCAAATAACCTCTGTATTAAATTGTCATATCTTTAGTGTTGAGATTCAACAAAATATGTTGCATAAGACATCCAGACTTCTCTACCTTAGAAGGGACATTTTCTCGGCATACAATAGCATGGCCTTCTGTTCTCAAGACATGATGGAAATAAATGTCTTCATTTGAGGATGTATCACACAGGAAAATGTTAAGGATTCCATCTATATATTCATCCACTACTCCCACTAGTGGCTTCAAACCACACAACTTCTGAAACTGCAAAATAGCTCTGGATGTCCAGTGTTCCTGAAATAAAATCAAGATTCTAGATTTAAGTGATAGGTTTAAACATGAATTACAGTGACCATACACAAAAATGAGTTCCTCATGAAACTTTAGTGGAAAAATAAAACTATAAAAGATCCAAAATAACATTTATGGTATTTATGCTTTAGAAATAAAAACAAGTCAGAGTGAAGAAAAAAGGCGAAAATGTGATCATGGAAAATTTTAAAATAATTTTTGATGAACTCATTTTCAGAAATAGTTAAGGTTATTAAACCAACCCTCCTACAGAAAAGAAAACCCCTAGAAATTCTGGGTAAGGTATTATTTTTAATGTCTAAAAATAAAAAAAATAAAAAAAAAAAGGGCCAGGGATACAGCTCAGTGGCAAAGCACCTGCCTGGCAAGTACAAGCTCCTAAGTTCGATTCCTGGTAACAAAAAAAAAAGGTGTAAAAATACAAAAAAAAATTTAACAATCTAGTAGTAACTAGTATGAGGCCAAAACTGAAAGGAAAGTAGGAACTACTTTTGCTAAGGGTACTGCTAATCTAGGCAAATCTGAATTTTGGTTTTGATGGTCTAACAAGTAAAAGGGAACAGATGTCAAAACCAAGGTCCACCATGGAAGGAGTCTTGAGAATTTCCCTTCAATAAACTAGGTACTACCGGATATGCTCTGTGGTGAGGGGAAAAAATTAAACTAGTCTCATATGGATTTGCTACTCAATTTTCACTTCACTAGAGTGGTTCACAAATTCTCAAGTTGGTAACTTAACTACTATGGTGCTAGTGTGATGGAAATCCTAGTCACCAGGCAGAAGCAAATGAAAATTCTCTCTGGGTAGAGACAACCTCAGCCTGTACTATTGAACCATTCTTTTTTTCTTTTTTGTTGTACTGGAGATTGAACATAGAGCACTCGCAATAAGTTACCATCTCCAGTCACCTCCGTTTTGACTTATTTGACACAGGGTCTTGTTAAGTTGCCAAGTTGCTGGCCTTTTTTCAATCCTCTGCCTCAGCCTCCCAGAGTGCTAGGATTGTAGGTATGCACTGCCACACGCATCCTGAGCCATTCTTACAAATAATTTTTCAGAGACAATAAGCACTGCACAGGCAGAGATAAGCATACACAGAAACAATAAATCACATCAAGTAGAAATCACAAAACAAACTCAAAATCTTAAGACAAATCACAAAATTAAATTCAATATGCTTAAAGCAGAATCTCAACAAAAAATAAAAACATCCAATGTAGTTTGAAAGCTTGAGCAGAGATCAGCAACTTATAAAAACTGATATAGCAGAACTAAGAATTTTTAGAAAGTAAAAATATAATAACCTAAACTAAAAATTCTACAGGTTAATTCAGTAGTGTATTAAATAGGATAAAAGACTAAGCTGGTAAAGCAGAAGATAATCTGAAAAAATTACCTAGTATGGGTAAGATGTAACATACAGAGGAGAATTAAAGTCTATGAAAGAAAAACTGAGAAAGTTTAATATACTTTTAAAAAGAGACAGAAATAGAATAAAAATATGCTTTTGGGGAATAGGTAATAAACAAAGAGATAATGACTAGGCATTTACAAGATTTAGTAAATTTAAAAACTGCAGATAAAGAAGTCCAATGAACAAAGTAAGGCAAATACAAATAAATCTTGTATAAACTTTCTTTTGGTATTGGGAACTGAACTCAGGGCCTCATGCTTGCCAGGTAGGCGCGGTGCCACTGAGCTATTTCTCTGGCCCCATAGACTCATATTCACACATGAACACATACTAAAACTGAAGAATACAAACAGTAAATAGAAGATCTTAAAAACAGAGGCAAAGAGGACACTGCCTTCAAAGGAATAAATAACTTCTCCAAACATACCAATAAAAATAAATAAAAATATGTTCCTCCTCTCTACTGTTACAATTTTTTGAAGGTCAGGATCTTGTATTTATTATGGATATTTAATACCTTGCACAGTGTTTAGCTTATCTCCAAAATGTAATATTTACATGACAATTTAAAAAAACAAAATTGGGGCCAGGGATATAGCTCAGTGGCACAGTGCCTGCCTGGCAAGCGCAAGGCCCTGAATTCGATTTCCCGTACCAAAAAATAAAAATAAAAAAATAAACAGATAAAAACCTAAAATTGTTTGTGACAAATTATCACAGGCTTTTTTGTGTGGTATTCACATTTTCTCAGTGCTGGTGATCAAATCCAGGGCTTTGTGCATACTAAGCAAATACTCTATTACCAAATTACAACCCCAGCCCTTCCAGGTTTTACTTTCAGTTGTGCACTATGTAACAGTATCTCAGCAAATAACAAACTGCATATATGACAATGGTCTCATACGATTATAAGGAAATGGAAAAATTCCTACCGCTTAGTGACACTGTAGCTGTCATAACATTATAATGCAACTCATGATATGTTTATGGTAACGTTGGTGTGGACAAATCTACTACTGTTGCCAGTCATATAGAAGTATATCACACTGCAGTTGATAATGATAATAAATGACTACTACTGGTTTATGTACTCACTATATTTAACTTTTTTCATTAGAGTGTACTATGTATTTTTTTAAAGTTACCTGTGAAAATAGCCTCTGACAAGTTCCTCAAGGAGGAACCATACAAACCATACAAATGGCTGCCAGGCAGGCGTTGTGCCACTGAGCTACATCCCTGGCCCCATAAACTCATATTCACGTATGAACACATACTAAAACTGAAGAATACAAACATTAAATAGAAATTGTATAGTTGCATGTCTCTTCAAATGAAGTTCATGCATGCAGTACTTCTCTGACAACATCTGCCACAAACACACTCCAACTTGTGCTACATTTTGTGTCAAACAGAGGTACTTAATAATTTCTCAAATTTGAATGCTACTCTTCCTTTGCCTGGAATGTCTTTCCTCTCCACTTTGTAATTTTCTTTCAAATGCCACCTCAACTACGAAACCTTTCTTGATTTCTCTGGACAGAGATGGGCATACTTATTTTGCTCCTTTACCACATACTGTAAAAACCTCTATTACAACAAATCTGACATGATACAATAATTTTTGTTCAATGGCTATGTTCCATACAATAAACAGTAATTTATTTGAGCTGGTTTCATGCTTTACTTTTGTACCCAGAGGACTCAGAACTGTTCTTGGCATATAGCAAGTACCCAAATCCTTGTTCATTAATGGAAACAAGCAAACATACCTTCACTGGTCTCACCCAAGCCAAAGAACAAGGGATAGCCTGAGCCGGAAGCTTTGTGTAGCAGCACCTACAGTAGATCATCAAATATATGAATATTTAATGATTTGTTAAACCCCATTTTATGAAATCTGTAACTCATTTCTTGGTTTATTACTCATATCATTTCAGAGTACACTGGTACTTTGGTTCACAAACTCAATTTATTCTATGATTTTGGAAAAGATAACTGTTTTGTGGGAAACATGGCCATGGTTGTGTTGGTCACCCAATGCACAATTTGTAAACAAAAACAAAATTTTACAAAACATTTACTTGTGAATCAAACTGTTTGCAAACAAAAGTGTTCGTGAACCAAGGCATCACTGTATTTTATTCATGAAATTTTAAATGAATGTAATCTAAGCAAATAAAATTAAAGCAATCTAAAAACTAAAATTACAAAATATGGTTAATCTTTCAGAGACCTATACAATAGATAGGAATAGCTCAACCTTTCTGCTGTACATATATAGATGCACCTCTTATAACCCAGTCATTTTCTTAATGAGACTGAAATTTATTCTTGTGATCCATTCAAATTTCCAGTCAAATGAAAAAGATTATAATCCATCTGTGAAATTAAATGACCAGTTGTCAAATTTGTACTAAGAAGAGAGATGGAAAGCAGGGAAGGGTGGAGGAAGGAAGGCAAGAGCAAAAAGACGAGTTTTAGCACTGTGACTGAATTTGTCCATTGCTTTTATTAAATTCAACTTACTTCAGGAACCTCAGAGAGGACTTCTGGACAGTTCCAATATTTCCAAAGTCTGGGTAAAACACTTCAACTTCATTTTTCGCCAGGACTTGGTGGATAACAACCCGATACCACCACTTATCCTCAGAAATCCTTACACAACAGAGATGTCCTGGCTGAATAAAATGTTCTGGCATGGTGTATCGATCAGAAACCAGCTGGTTAGAGTAACAGCGCCTGTGGAATTCCACAATACAGAGAAACTCACAGCGAAAGAAAAACTGAAGATCACTTTTGTTCATATATCAAAAATAGGAAAGTCTTAACAAAAGCAAAGAAAAAATCCTCACTTTAAAAAATATGTAAATGTTTACTCATACCAGAGAATTTTCTTATATTATCTGAATAAAATATAATCCAACTTTTTTTCCCCAGTACTTTGTACAAGGGACACTTTTTAAAACAGGCAAGGGATATAGCTCATGTGTGAAACATTTACTTGCCTAGCATGTTCAAGGCCCTGAGTTCCACCCCAGGCACTAGGAAAAAAATCTGTAAGACTTATCAATGACCAATTAATTCCCAAATCCAACAGCCTCGCTCTTCTATGCCTTCAATATATTTGTTCTCTCTGCAGCATTATTCTTTTTCAAACTCTTTCTTATTTAAGTTTCTAAGACAAATCCTTCCTTCCTTATCATTAATTACCCTGTAGTAGGCTTAGCTTTGCCTTAAAAATTTGGGTTTCCTGGGGTCTTTAGGAAGTCAAACAACATGTTTATTGCATTGTTTTTCTGGTTGGAGAAACTAAAAGTGTAAATAAGGACCAAAATGTATAACAGTTATTGGAAATCAGAGGAAAATGTTCAAAGAAGGGGAAAAAGGAGAGGGGAAGGAAAGGAAGGAATGGACAAGAAAATAAAAGACAAAAAAAGGAAACACTTCAGTTTTTCTAAATAAGGAGAGGAAGAAGAGTTGAAGGGATGAGAGGGGAATGGGGAAAAAAAGAAATGATATATCATGTAGAGGTACAAATTCTGTATGATATCATTATTACGTATAGCTAAAATGTACCAATAAAATTTTTTTAAAAAGGAAGTATAACAGGTTCAAATCCTGATTCTGTTAACTTATGAACTGGGGCAACATTAAGATCTAGAGCAGCAAGATAGGAAATATCTGTGTCCCTAACATCATGAAGCTATTACATCAGCCTGTATCACCTCTACTGGATTATGGGAAGTGTCTTCTTTACGATACTGTTTCTAACAGTGGCTAAATCTAATCCTAATTAATACTGCCTGTTCAACATTGCCTGAGTTTGATTCCTGATACCAAAACAAAACAAAAAACAAAACAAAAAAAACCATTGCCAATCAACTGTATCATGCTCGCCTTAGAGGCAGTGTGTAAATTTCTAACTTCTCTCACCCCAGCTCAAATTTAACCTCTAAAACCAATAGTTTTCATATTTTGTCTCACTTTTATTCTTCCCAATGCTATTCTGGCTACCTGACAATTTTAGTTTATCTCCAATTTGTCTCTGCCACAGGAGGTTTCAGTTAGAAACAAGGACTTCACGTCCATGAGGTGCTGGTTTCTCAGCCATACAAAATGCAAGTTATGGGGTCACAGAAGGTTCAAAAGAAAGCCTGAGAGTCTAGGTAGTATGCCCCTAAGAGGACAGTGCATGAAGCTAGGAGTGAAGCTGAAGGAGCACTGCAGACCTCAGGAATGTGGAATGTCTGTTGAGGAAAACCACAAGCAGAGAATGGAAGCAGCGTAAGTGAGAGGTCTTGTGGGCTATAGCTAGCAAGGCCATAGGGACAGGACGACCCAAGCCCTTTGGAGTTCACCCACAACTTCCCCTGGGTGATGGACATGGAGCTAAAGAATTTAATGTTTGTCCCTGCTAGACTCTGGTCTCGCCTTGGTCCCATTCTTTGCTACTCCATTATTTCTCTTTTGGAATGGGCACATTTACCCTGTGCAATGTATGCTGAAAATATTTAACTTTTTTTACTTTCACAAGGGCTGACAGCTAAGAGTTTGACTTGGGTCTCACAGAAGATTATGAACTTGCAACTTTCTGAACTTGGCAACTCTTAGAGATACACTAAATGCATTTCTCATAATGAGATGATGAGACTTTAGGGGGCCCAGGGTGGGATGTTATAGCTTGGATCTAAAATGTCCCTCCAAGTTTCAAGTGTTTCGAAGTGGGGCCTGAGCTGGAAGTATGTGTTTTTTGATCTTCTTTCTCTGCTTCCTGGCTGCCATGGGATGAACAGCTGTTCTCTGCTATGCCCTTCCACCATGCTGTCTCTGTCTTGGAGCCAGCCAACTTGGGCAGAAATCACTGGAAACTGAGCCAATTTAAACCTCTATTTAAGTTGTAAGCACTGAGTATTTTGTCCCAGTGATGGGAAAATGACTAGTACACTAATGACAATGCAGGCTTAGGTATCTGACGTATCACTTCCCCAAAACTAAGTGAGCGTTCTCTTCAACTTAAGTGACTAACAATGTATGTCGTCCATGATAAAATTCAAGTCTTTAAGTTAGCACTTTCAAAATATTATATACACCACTGTGAACTCCCGATGATAGCACTTTCAGTAGTGTTATCAGTGAATGTTATTTTTTAAATATTATGAGATAAAACATGTTACATTTGGAAGATCAGCATAATTCAGTGGACTAGCATTTTACAAATGACCAATAAAAGATGTTGCAAAAGATTCACTGTAGCCTGGTCCATGTGAGTACATGGTTAGAAGAGCCTTATGCTTGCTTAAATGGCTCCATTGGTATCTTGAAATTCTTAATTTTTAAACAAGGAACTCTGCATTTTAATTTTGTACTGAGGTCTACAATTACATAGCTAGTCCTGGAACTAGTTATAGCACAAAGGTAAATCATTCAACTTTAACAGAGTATATGAAAAAATTCAAACCCCACATTGCAATTTATCTTTAAGAAACTACCGTTTGTCAAGTTTTAACATATTATCTAGAAACAATATTCACAACTATCTGAAAAGACTATTAAAACACAACTAAATAACTCTGTGAGGCTAGACATTTCATATACTTCAATCCAACTACATAACTATGTGAGGCTAGACATTTCATATACTTCAACCAAAACAACACAAGGTAGAGCCTCCAAACTATGCTGATTAGAGTAAGATACAGGAAAAAAACCACCGAAAATAACAAAATCCTACCGCATTTCAATCATCATGTCTTCAAGTAACTCTGATGAATCCCTGCTATAGATTCGGACGTAGAATTGACTAGGAGAGATAATGTACTCCACAAAGACCCCCACAAGGGTACTGGTATCTAATGGGGGAAGTCTGCATAATTTCTTTTCTTGTACAGCATCCGGTGGGATATCATTTGTCACTGGCATGTTGAGCTGTGGTTTGCTTATTTCTAGTTTCTACAAATTTTTTTTAAAAAGAAGAAAGAAATGAAAACACAGTAAGTCTTTAAGTCACATTTCAAACCCTAAGGCAACATTTCTTAATGTATATTTCATGAATCATTCTAATCAGAATTACCTGGGAAATTAAACATGCAGATTCTTGGGCTCAAGCCAGATTTATTCATAATACATGAGAATGGTGCATTTTATGCATTTAAAAAAATTCTCCAGGTGATTTTCACTTACATTAAAATACAAAAATTTAGTTTTATGATAGTAGGCAAATAATTAAGAAGTATTACACAAATACTCTATACAAACTTCACAACACAGTACTTCAACTATTTTCATCCCATCCAATTCTACCAAAGGTGAAAGGTAACAAAGGAATGGATTAAATTTCAGCTAGCCTTCTAGTCAAAGATAGGCGTTTTTTTTTGTTACTGGGAACTCAATTCAAGACCAGGACTTCATGACTGCCAAGCAGGTGCCGCACTGCTGAGCTACATCGTCGGTCCAACACTTTTGTTCTTAAATATACTGTTTACTTCTAGGCTTTTCTTTGTCTTCCAGAAAACACAGCAGGCTCTCAAGGTATTTTTATTCCATGAAAGAAGTCAGGTACGAACAGTACAGTGACAAAGAATACAACTAATTCCTTACATGTAAAATAAGTGAAATGAATACAAAAAGGGAGAAGCATGTGTGAAGGTATAATGAAAGAGAAAAAAAAGCACTGACTGAGGTTGAGTGCAAAGTTGACATGCAGGAATTGAAGCACAAAGCAAGAAAAGAGCTCTCTCCTCTCTCCTCTAAGGAGAGGGGTTTTCCATCTTAAACTTTGAAACATAGAGATAAGGAACTGTCAAGTCTCAAAACCATCTGAAAACTTTGGAAAGCTAGTTGTATAAAAGACTGAAAACTAGAAGGAACATTACATGAGGTGACTTTGGACCAAAGAATTCGGCTCTACCAAGAAATAATGTATCTAGAAATAAAAAGTCTCTAAAAAGAATTTTGCTTAAAAAAACTATTCATTCAGTAAAGACTTTACCACCAGATTAGGCTCCTTACAAATCTTCGGTTCTGGATCTTTATGTTTTTTCAAAGAGCAGTCCCACGTAGTCTCCTTAATAGCAGCAGCAGATGATGAATTTCTTGGAGGACTAGAGACATAAACTTTGGATTCTATTTTCTTATCTGATTGAACAAAGCATGAATTTCTGATTAATGAAACAGCTCCATCTAAAATGGCCAATAAATATTTGCATATTTGTTATGATAATGATACAGTCACTAAGTACCTTCTATGTACCAGGCACCCAGGAGACAATGATAAATGAGATACATTTTCCTGACCTTACAGATCTTTCGGTGTGGAGACACACAAGGGAAGTTCTAGATGAGAACAAATCCTAGAGGGGCAAGGGAAGCTTGCAGTATGGTAAGGTTTCTTAAACTCTGGTGAATGGCTTTATTTTTGAACACCCTGATTTCAATATATTCCTTGTTTTAATTAAGCAGTAAACACTCAATATCCCATAATGTAAAATGTGTACGATTACTTAAAATTCCATAGTATGATGCTTTAATTCTTAGAGAATTCCCCAACCAATCACTTATTTTGTTCAAGTTTACATATGTATGATGACTACAAGAGGGTGGCACATTAAAATAGGCTCCGATGGCTTTTAAACAAATAAACTCAGGTGACTGAGATGTGGATACAAAAATATTTATCACAGGGTTGGGGATATAGCTCAGTGGTAGAGTGCTTGCAGAGTATGTGTGAGGCCTGGGTTTGATCCTCCTCAGTGCTACAAAATCTAAATAAATATTTAAAAATTACCTCTATACTTTTTCTAACAGTAAAAATTGAAGCAACCTAAATGAACATCAACAGGAGACTGTTTAATTATCATACAACTACATTAAAGAATTATAGTTAAAAATTTTATAAATTCACACACTAATAGGAAAAATACAACATATAAATACAATATTTATATTTCTTTGTATAAAAAATTACACATACAATTATATTACATAGAAGTTTAGAAATACACATTATTAGTATTAGCATGATAGTGTACTGATAGAGTAGTTTAAACAAGCTTTTGTGATAAAAAAATATAGCCATGCTTATACAGACATTTAATAACATCTGGAAAGCTATACAAAAATTCTAAAATAGCATTATTTCTAAGAGGTTGTATAAAATAATGGGAAATGTTCACTTTCTATTTACTACTCATTTATGTTGAAGATAGAATTACTTTGATACTCAGAAAACACTGATAAATATTTACATTTTGGAAAAGTAGCTGTATCAGCTTATAAAAATACAAGAACAGTATTTTTCTATTTTCTATTTGAAAAATGTTACCCACTGTGGAAACTTAGTAAAGGTATGTGGGATCTCTCTGTATTATTCCTTAAACTGCATAAGAATCTACAGTTATGTTAATAACTCCTCTCTTCCCCCTCAAAAAAACCTAAGCAAAATAAATTAAAAATGAAAAATCAAGTATCCTACAAGCAATGTGGCATCCTGAAGTAACAGAAAAATGACATTTTTTGAAAAACTGGTAAAACAAGGATAAAGTTTAGAGTTTAGTTAGCAGCAGTAAACCAATATTCATTTCTCAGAGGAAGAGATCAATAATTATGATTTTGTTTTGAGAAATACATTATGGAAATGTAAGACGTTGATACTAGGGGAACTGAATGAAAGGTATATAGGAACTCTATATTAACTTTGACTTTTCCATAAACCTAAAGTTACCCACAAATAGAATACTTATTAAAAATATAATTGTGGGGGCTTGTAAATGTGATACATCCATTTATTCTGCATCTCCATATATTTCTAAAAAGTTTTTGATGTATAGTCAGAGTTAAAAGCTACTAAACCATCAGCCCTCTATTTTCAGAAAATTTTCTTCAGAATTATTTTAAAAACTCAACACTATTTTAGCTGTTTTTATTAATAATACAGGTTAACTTTATTATAATAAATACCACCAGAAAGGAGGTCATTATATACAAAGCATTTCACAGCTAAGACGTGATGTATTTGGTTGATGTGGCTGTAACCAAGACTCTTAGCTAAACAGCATTTTTCCCTTGTTCTTATGAAAGGACTACTAAAAATGAGGTTTGCATTATAAATGGGCTCAACTCACCAGGTGGTATAGGCTTCATATCAGCATCAAACACCAGCAAGTCTTGTTCTCCTTCCCTAAACTCAACATGAAGAATATCACTAAGAGCTCCAACAAGTTCGGTCACATTTAAGAAGCCCAAGTTCTTTGGTGAAAGTTGCTCTTTAAAAATTATCTGTCAAAAAACCCCCAGAAATTACATGAAAATAATAGTAGATAACAGAAACAAAAAGTGTACAGATGCCCTCAGACAATGTTTCAATTTGGATTTGCCAAACCAAATTTGTAAGGGTCAAAAAACTCAAGCGTAAAGTTTGAGTTGCTTTGAGAGTATATAGAAAACTGAAGTGAAATTAAGGGGGCCTTTTAACCTAGCAATAGCCAAGTAGTGTATAAAGCAAAAAAGTCCTCAAAAGGAGGGTTGTAAAAACACAAAATCACAACAAAACTACTGTTATTTCTATATGTTTAGAGAAAAGAAATATTCACCATCATTTTAAATATGGAAATTGGCATTACTATTTAAAATATTTCTTAAATTTTATTATTTCATTTTAGAAGTTGTGATAAATAAGCAGGCATCCATCTGTGTATTTCTTGTAGTACATCGCTTGATTTTCTTGCCTTGATTAAGAAAGGTCATACCAAAGATAGATAGACACATGGGACAGATACCACGTACAGTCTGGATTAAACTGCACAGAGAACTGGTAAGTTTATCCTGGTCAAAAAGGCCTGCTACTACAAATGCTCAAATTCTTAGTTCAGTATTTGTCCTGAACCAAGAGAAAGCAACTGGGCCAATAATTACTGATCTCTTTCTTTGTCTAGGTCAGTGGTGGCAAATCTATGACACGTGTTACTTTAAGACAAAAGATTCTGATGTATGATTTGTTTTTTCTAACCTAAAATCTCAATATTCAAGTTTAACTGCACTGTGGGTACTTTGTGACAAATAAGTGGGTTTGGGGCTGCAATTTGGGAACTCATCTCTGAAAGACTTGCTATCACTGGTCTAAGTTTCAGCAGGAAATAAAGCCTTGCTTCTCACTTAAGTACCTTGAGTAAGATCAACATGAACACAGAAGGGAGACACTACAGAAGTACTGAGCCTTGAGTGAAGATGGTTCAGCTTCACCACAGACCTCCTTGTTTATGGGACGCTCTCAGACCCAAAAGAACTCTGTATGACTTCTCACATGAACACCAGAAAAAGTAGGAGCCAAAATCCAACAAATCATGGTTCATAAATATCACATCTTTACCCATGAACATCCCAAGAAAAAAAGAAGCGGTATAAGAAATAAGGCGGTGGCAGATTAAAATCAGTATCTCTATTTACTACTTTATTCATTGCATATTCAGGTTTCCTTTTATGTTCAGTGGTCACTAATGGTCTCTTCACCCTCTTTGCTTCTAGTACTACAAAAATGCAATTCAAGTGAACATAATATTGAGTTGGGAGGACTTTTTAAAAATAAAAGTTACTAAGTTTTTAAAAGGTAACATATTCAAAAGGCTCAAGAAAGTATATCACTAAAACAGTATTTAGTTCTGCCCTAATTCTTTAGTCAAGTAGAAATAATTTCCCTGGAAGTTAATGTAATTATCAGTTCTTTGTGCAACCTTCCAGAAATTGTCAGAACTTGAACATGCTTTAACATAGCATTACATATGCTGTACCATCTTTTTTCCATTAATATAGACAATGTCATATTAGTACAAGAAACACAGTTACACTTTAATTATGAACCTGAGAATCAGTTTTTTTCAATAGTTGAGTCAATTCATTGATACATCGGATATATTTTGTGGTAATTCCTTTGTTATGCTTTCTTCTTGACTCTGAACTATGAGCAATAAAGACAATGATTTCTACTGTTACTTTCCTTACTTCCCTTCTATTCCCGGTCTAATTTTAGTTATATTATTTCTTAGAGTTTTACATTTATGCTTTCAAATATATGTATGCATCCTAAACATGATTTTATTTCCTAATCATCTGGATTCTGCAGATGACAAACTCATAGTACAAACACTATTTCCCACAAACTGGCAGCTAGATCAGACTTATGCTTGATCCCTTTGACAAGATAGTGATACTATATTCTTTTTAAGAAAAGACATCTGATGCTTGGTTGTCCCTTTTGGGGTGGTTAGGAGCCATTATTATTAGTCAATGCCTCGATTCATTATTTTATTGAGGGTTTTGTTATTCTATCTATTTTTCATTAGAATATTTCTATAGAGATATACTTCCCCTCATTTGCTATTGGTTACCCAGTCATACTAGTTAATACAGAAAAAAGGGAAGTGCTGAGTTTATCATTTTTCAAGATGATTTGTTCTTTATCATTCTGCATATTTAAATATCACATAGCTCAGGGAATTAAATTTGGTGGGCTTTAAGCATTGCAACCGTTATTCTTATTGAAGCCTAAAACAACTCTTCAAGCATATTCCTAAGCTCTTTTGATGTGAACTTTAGTCTTTGTAGTTTTCTTGCTGGTCTGGCATGACAAGATGTTCCAGGCTCAATTTATACAATTTAGAATATCATTGTTCATACTATTAGAACTATACCATAATTATTCATTTTCTTTTTTTTTTTTTTTTTGGTACCAAGAATTGCACTCATGACCTCAGGCTTGCCAGGCAAGCACTTATGCCACTGAGCTGTATCCCCAGCCCTACTCATTTTCATTATATGACATTATATAAAGGTCTCCAAATAAAAACAGTCATTTTACAACGAATATAATTGATAAAAAAAACTTTTGCATATACTCACCCCTCTATGTACCATTTTGTATAATGTATTTCAAGAAACAAAATTCTTATCTTCAGGACTTACATAAATGTTCAGATTTTCCACTTCAGCTTTCCTCAGTTTAGTACATTGTGCCTTTTAAAGAACTTGGCCACTTCACCTAAATTCCAACAATTGTTTATAATATTCCTTTGTCCTTTAGTATTGTAGAATCTATAAAGATAATTTCCTCCCCTGGAATTGGTAATTTGTATCTTCTTTTTTTAAACTTTTGGTTTATTCATTTTATTGATACTTCATTTGGTTTTATGAATTTTCTCTTGATTCTATTTTACTGATTTCTACTTTCAGCTTTAGTATTTCTTTCTTTCCACGTTTACTTTTCTTTCTGCCCTTCTGTAATAGACTCTTAGTCAATGACAACTTCTATCCTTTTCTAATACAAGCATTTAAAGCTCTGTCTTTCAGCACAGCTTCAGCTGCATCTCTCAAATTTTGATATATTTATTTTCATCATTTTTCTTTCTTTCCAATCAGATCTTACTGGTACATTTTAGATAACACATAATGAAAAAAAGTAGATTCACATAATGATCACATTCTTCCTAGAGAATTTGTACTGTATATAACTTTTTTTCCCAGGCCCCTGGCTTCTCTTCAACCTCTTCTCCCCTCCCCATTTACAAAAGCTTTGTTTCCATTTTTTCCTTCTTTTCTCATTTTTTTACTTTTCTCTTCTTTCCTTTCCGCCTCCTATCTCCATTGTGCCCCTTGCCATTTGAACATTCTCTCCCTACTTTATACATTTTGGTATGAAGATACATTTTGGTCCTTATTTACACTTTGGGTTTCTGACACCAGAGAAAAAAGCGCACTATATACACGTGTGTCCCACTTATTTCACTTAAAAATAAAGAGTGTGGTCAGGTATACCCATTTACCTAGGAATCGCTCAAGCTTATCCTTCTTTATGGCAGAGGAGCACTCCATTGTATAAAAAACTCCACATCTTCTTTATGCATTCACCAGTTGATAAACATTTTGGCTGTTTCCAAGATTTGGCTATTACAATCAGTGCCACTATAAATATGAGTGTGTGTGCATATGATGAATTTAATTCTTCTGGGAAGATACCCAGTAGGGGAATAGCTGGGTCAAATGTGACCTTCAATCCTAGTTTTTTGAGGTGTCTCCACACTGACATTCACAGTGGTTGCACCAGTGTACACTCCCAAAAGCAGTGAAAAAAGGTTTTCTTTTTCCCACAGCCCTGCCAGCATATTATTGGTCAGTTTCTTGGTAACAGCCATCCTTCCTGGGTGAGATCGAATCTCAGCATTGTTTTAATTTGAACCTCTTCAATGACCAGTGATGCTGAATATTTTTTCATGTACTTATTTGCTGTTTATACATCTGAGATGTATGTACTCATCTCAGATGCCCATTTTTGGATTTGGTCTTTAAATTTTGGAGGACTGATTTTTTTAGTTCTTTATATGTTCTCAATAGTAATCCTTTGAGGAACAGCTGGCAAGTATTTTTTCCCACACTGTGGATTGTCTCTTCACTCTGTTGGTGGTTTCTCTTACTGTGCAAAAGCTTTTTAGTAAGATAAGTTCCTAGTTGATTCTTTGTGATAGTTTCTGTGCAATCAGGGTTTTGTTAAAAAAAATCTTTGCCTACACTAACGTCTCCAAGAGCTCTACCTATTCTATCTTCCAGCAGATTTGATGTTTCTGCTTTAATATTTAGATCTCTGATCCATTTCTACTTTATTTTAGTGCATGGAGAAAGATATAAGTCCAATTTTAATCTTCAGCGTTTGCAAAGCTAGGTTCTCCAGCACTATTTATTAAAGAAACTATTTTTCTATCAGTGAAGATGTTTGGCTCTCTTGTCAAAGATGAGGTGGTTAAGTATCTTTGGAGTTGTTTCTGCATCTTCTAATCTGCTCCACTGATTGTCAGGTCTGTATTTTTTCCACTACCATGCTGTTTTTATCACACTAGTTTTGCAGCATAATTTCAAGTCTGTGGTTGTAGTGCCCCTTGCCTTGCCTTTATTGCCCAGAGTGCCTTTGTTATTCTAGGTCTCTTCTGGTTCCAAATGAACGTTAGCATTGTTTTCTTTAATTCTGTGAAATATGATGTTGGAATTTTGATTTAAATTGTATTAAATCTGTATAGGAGTTTTGGAAGTACAGCCATTTTCACTATATTTGTTCTTCCTGCCCAAGAACAAGGGATATCTTTTCATTTTCTGATATCATATTCAATCTCCTTTTTCAGAGTACTGTAGTTTTCCATGTAGAAGCCTTTTACTTCTTTAGCTAGACTGATTCTTAGGTATTTCATTTTTTGGATGCTATTTTTTGAAGAGTGTAGTTTCCCTAATTTCTCTCTCAAGTGAGTTTGTTATTCATGTACAGGAAGGCTATTGATTTTTTAAGTGCTGACTTTGTATCCAGCTATGTTACTGAATTTGCTTATTAAATCTAGAAGTCTTCCGGTGGAGTTTTTGGGGTCTTCTATGCAGAGTATCATATCATCTGTGAATAATGATAATTTAACTTTTTCCTTTCCTATCATTATTCCTTTTATTTCTTTCTCTGGTCTAATTGCCTGGTGGATTCCTTCTGTTGGGGTTCATGGAGTTGTACTCTATGTTATCTCTTTCTAGAATATCCTTCTGAGTATTCTGGAGTGATGGTTTGGTGTCCATGAATTTCTTCAGGTGTTCTTTTCCATGGAAGTATCTTATTTCTCCATAAATTTTCAAAGATAGTTTTTCAGGGTACATCAATCTGAGCTGGAGGTTGTTTTCTTTTAGGGCTTGAAAGACTTCACCCCAGGCACTCCTTGACTTAAAGGTTTCTGTTGAGAAGTCAGCTGTGATTCTGATGGGCTTTCCTTTATAGGTGATTTGTTTCTTTTCTCTAAATGCTTTTAATATTCTATTCTTGTGTTCTGGAATCTTGACTACGATATGCCTGGCTATAGTTTTTTTTGATCATGGTTAATTGGAGTTCAATATGCCTCATTTATTTGTATGTCAAAATTTTTTTTCCTGTCAGGAGGGTTTTCTGCTATGACATCTATGAACATTTTTTTTTATATCATTTGTGTTATCTCCTGCTTTTTCACTGACTCCAATCAAACTTATGTTATTCTACGTATCATCTAGCAGGTGCTGGATTGATTTCTCATGGTCCCTTGCTATTTTTAAGAAATCTTTCTTTTCATACTAAATACAAGCCTGTCTTCTGTATTTGAGATTCTGACCTCACTACTGAATCATTCAATGTGCATACCTTCAATGGAAGTTTTAGTCCTCTAGATATCTGCTTCTGTTTTCTGGATTCTACTTCTTTCATATGTTGGGCATTCATGACTTTCATCACTTTCCTAAGCTCTTCTATTTTTTAATCTGCATCTGCTCTGTATGAGTCATTAAGCATGTTTTTTATTCTGATCACCATCTCAGTAGTTATATGAGAATTTATTTCTCACTTGATTTTTTTCTAGAGCCTCATTCATTTGCTTTGTTTTTACCATGTCAGAGAGAACAAGTGAGTGGTCTGTGGCTTGTCCAACCTCACTGCCCTCTGGGTTTGCCTTCAGTGAACTGGATGTCTGGGGTTGCATCTTGTTTAAGTGCCTTCTCATTTCTATTCATTTTTAGTTTAATTCCTGGGTTGATGCTTGTAAAGTGAGTGACTTTATTGTTATTATTTAGAACCCTTAGAAAATGACTACTACTCTGAGATATCTTCCAGGTGTAGCTGGCTTTGGGTCTGTTGCAAGATCCTACCTCTTCAATTTGTTGGAGATGAAAAGTTTCTGCCTGCTTGGCCCAGTCACTAATTTTTTGGCACTGGCCCAAAGTATTTTCTATGACCATGAGACAATCTCAGTCTTGGTATACCAGGAAGAACAGCTGGTTAGAATCATTATGTCACTTACGCTAAAGTGGTACAATCAGCAATAACAATAGCATCAAACAGCCTAGAAAATGACAAACTGAGGTAACCATTAATTTGCCACCTTTAATCATATGACCTAGATTTGTGACTGTATAACAAAATCTAAAACAAACCAGAAAACTGTATGTAGCAAATAAGTCCTCAACATGCCAATTTTACCCCCAGGGAAGAAAATTTAAAAGGGGATAGGAGAAAAAATAGAGAAATAGAAGAAGAAGAAGAGATCAGAAGCCAGGCTGGATGACACAAAGGAGAATCACGCAAACTTTGGGATACTGGCGCAGAAGATAGGCAGGAAAAAGAGAAGGAAGAAATAAAAGAACAGAATAACAGAACCACAAAGAAACTAGGAACCACATTCATACTCACATAAAAATAAGATCAAACAATGAAAGAAAAAAGAAAAAGAGAAAAAAATGTCCACTTCCAAGTTTGTCTCTGCTGTCACTGGTAGACAACGTGTGGAGACAGAGTTCAGATCCGTATTGATTAATCCCAGCAAGTCTGCAGTAGCTTTATGGGGTGGGTATAGTGGATACTCTTAGTGAGCCTGCACCTGTATTTCTCCTGAAGTTCAGGCTGGTTTCTGGCCACAAGACTGGGACCAGACACGTTCAGCTTACAGTCATGAATGCACCTTCTGGAGGTGTGAACTCAGCTGAGAGCCGCTAGATGGAGCCATCAGTTATTCTGAGTTCTCAGAGTTGAACCCTCTCAAAGATGGCTGCCTTCCCTTTCCTAGGGAATATCTGATCCCGCAGCACTCACTACCAGCTAGTGTAGTCCTTCATCTCGACTGTTCCCTTCCACTGCTGCTGCTTTGTGTGGCGGCCTCTGGGGTCACCACCAGTCACTGTGTGTCCGCAGATTTGAACTGCCCCTTCCATGCAGTGAGTCCTGACTAGGGGAGAAGGCTCCATCACCTACCTCTTTCTTCCTCATTGAAGTTTCTCTTTTTGCTCTCCCCGTGGGCTTCAATTCTTGCTCCAGATCCTTCCTGGGTCCAGGTAACCCACTTCTCTCCTCCTTACACTGCTATATCTCATTATTTTTCAACTGGAAATATTTTCTAATTTCCTTTGTAATTTCTTCTCTAATAAGTTACTTAGAAGACTGATTACTTCCTAAGTATCTGTAGGGTTCTGAGTAACTTACTGCATTGATTTGTAACTCAATTCCATCTTTCCCAGAGAATATGACTGTAAAATTTCAGCATCCTGAAACTTGTTGAGATTTATTTTATAGTCAACTATAATCTATCTTGGCAAATGTTCCACATGTAAATGAATATATATTCTTCAGGTATCGAGTACAATATTCTAAAAAGTTAAACTGACAAAGATAGTAGAGAGTGCTGCCAAGATATTCTGCTTATTCATTTTAAAGCCCTTTCATAAATTGCTAAGAATATTAAAATCTCCAACTACATCTGTGGAATCTTAATTCTGTCTAATTTTGGAGTATTTATTTTAAAACACTGATACTGAATGAACAACATTTACAACTATTTTGTTCTCCTAAAGAATTAATCCTTTATCCTTATGAGATCCCAGATCTCTGACAACACATTTTGAGCCTACTTTATCTCATGATCTTTTAGTTACTTCAGCTCTTTTAAGCTACTGGTTACATGGCGTAACTTCTTCACCGTTTACTTTGAACCATCTTCCTTCATATTTATATGGCTCCTTCCAGACAGCATGGAGTCAGTTGTACTTTGTTTTTCATACAGTGTCATGGCTTCTATCATTTCTCTGTAGTATTTAGTCTATTTACATTTATGAAATTAGCACTTTAATTAAATTTAAAGTTAAAACTCTTATTTAATTTCTATTGATCCTGCCTATATTTTCTCTGTTCCTCCTTTCTTGTCTTCTTCTGAGTTTATTTCATATTTTTATATAATTTCTCTTAATTTATGTATTAGCTTTACAGGCATAATTCTACATTTTAATGGTTGTTCTGGGTATTACAATCTACAACCTTAACTTCTCTCTCTTACTTTACCAATTCACATAAAATATAAGAGTTTCACAACCCTATAGCTCCACATAGCCCCCTACTAGTTATGCTATAGTTTTTGTATGTATTATACACCTTCAAGTTATAAACTCAATTATATATCATTTTTGCTTAAAATAGTAATTCAATTACAGAGAGAAAGCAGTCTTTCAGATAAACCATATCTTTTGCTCTTCAATTCTTCCTAAGATTCAAGTTCCAAGCTAAACCCTTTCTTTGGGCATGAAGTACATTACAGTATTTAGTATTTCTTATAGCACAGATCTGTTTACAATTCCCTAGTTTTGATTATCTGAAAAATGTATTTTATCTTCATTCTTGCTATTATCACTGCAAATAAAACCAAGAATATGTGTGAGGTATTCTGTTTTTCCACATCCCCAGTAATACTTGGTACTGGCAGACATTAAAAATAATCTTCATTCCTGGTACCAAAAAAAAAACAAACAAACAAAAACTTCATCCCAATGATGTTAGTACAACAGGTGGCAAAAATATCCTTCCTATGTATAATCAAGTATATACACGAGCCATATTCTTAACTTCAGTAAAGAAAGACACTAAAATGCAAAATAAGACATTTATATGTTAAAGTATACAGACTCAGAGTGTCCAAGGGGCAGCAACAAAATTTTTATGACAAGAAAGATAAGCCATAAAAGTCATTAGGATTTGTGAGAAAGAAAACACTCTTACCTCAAACTCTCCAAGCAGTTTAGAAATAAATAAACCCTCTGGAAACTTAGATACAACCTAATAAAAAATGAAATATAATATAGATACAATTAGAATGCTATGAGACAAAATACTTAAAGACAGTATAAAATTAGTAAGAAAGGCAAAAATAACATTATTGAATAAATGACTTTTATCTACATTATACATTTTTAAAAACTCATTTTCAGTCTTACTTTGTAACAAAAAGACAGACTTTTTTCTGAGAAATCGTTATTATACAATACTGCAATACTACAACTCTCCAGTAAGTGCTATTTAGCTTTAGCGCACATAAACAGTCTACAAAACAATTTTATGCATTTTAATTGCTAGAAAATAAATGCAATGGGCACTATTAAAAATTTCAGAAAACAGTTACCTGTATTTAATATAAAAATAAAGTTAAGAGTTCTATGACCACTTTAAAAAACATACTATAGACATCTTTCCATGTCAGTAAATATAAAATACTTTAAAGGACTGCACATTTTTCAAAATACTCACTTTATCCAAATTTATTTATTTGATCATCTACTTATGGTTACTACTTATATCTATCATCACAAATATTGGAATGATTATCCTTACCTTTGTATTTTGTGTATCTATTTATAATTTTTTAGGATAAATCCCTGTAAGTAACTTATTCTATTCCAATACAGTATAAAACTTTTTTTCTCTAGATATTTTTAGATGTATTTTGTACATAATTGTAATTAAAGTCTCAGGAAAAATATAAAAATTATTTCAGACTCCTCTGTGATCCACAGGCAGTCATTGCTGCATTTCAGAAAACATCCTTTCAGAAACCTCTTTATGCATGTACAGCAATACCCACATTACTCACGATTTAATATGAAAAAATATTAAATACAGTGTTCTTAAAAACTGTTTTCTAAAGTCTAACAACATGTAAAGGCAATACTTCAACGTAAATTAATAGACACACATAAACTTTCTTATGAACTATATAATATTTCCTACTTTGGGTGGAGAGTTTAACCAATCTTTATCACTGAACACAATTTTTCTCTAATTTTTGTACCATAAGAAGTAATATTGAACACCCTTGAACAAATAATTGGAAGACACTTACTCAATTTTCAAATGAACAAGGCCTGAATGTATGTTACCAAAGTTTCTGCATTTCTCTCAGCAAAGTCATGACAATTGATATGGGATAAGGTTGTAAGAGTTGTGATGATACTCTGATTATTCAACCCAGGATTACTGGCTTCCATCGAAATTTTATATGTACATACCCTTTGGCCCAATACATAACAGCCAAAGAGACTTCTTTCTATATTAATAGGGCAAAACAACAAATTATGCCAAAGAGATGAAGAGGCAATTCACATAAAAATATACTTGACTACTAAGGACATGAGAAAGATATTTAATTTAAAAACCAAGTTATAAATTAAACAGCATAGCCTGATAGTAACATTTCAGTGTCAGTGGAACTGTAAACTTGTTCAAATCTTTTAGAGGGCAATGTAGGAATATTTATTTTCAAAACCAATACTCTTGATTGACAACCACCTCTACATAAATATTCAAGGATATTAATAGCAGCCATCTTTTAAACAGTTAAAGGTAAACACAACCTGAATTGTAATCAATTATGGATCTAATAATTGGAATATAAACATAATGGGACACCATACACTATCTGGAATATTTCATGGTATGTATATATACAGAGTCTGCCAAAAGAATGTATACCATACTTCAGGAAAAGAAAAATAGTATGATGTTTTTTCAACACACGGTATTACCCTCATATGAGTTGACTCTGGAGGATGTCATGTATCACAGAAAACATACTATGCTGTGATCCTTAGAGAAGAAACTGAAAATAAATGTGCAGCAATCTCAATGTACCAAGATTATCCAAGCAGCAGTTCATCTCACTAACAAATGTCTGAAACATAATGGTCACCACTTTGAGGCCAAAAGTAACTAGTATTAATCTTATGATATCTCAATAAATTTAGTATTAAGTTATTTATACAGATTTTTCTTTTCCTGAAGTGGGTATACATTTTCTGGCAGACTGTGTGAGTATACACTGAGTTATTTATTTTGATATATATATAAAATTCATATACATATGAATTATATCTTGAACTCTTTGTAAACAGTCATTTATTGGAGGGAAGAAGGTAGTAAAACATATATGGAAAAACCGATGCTTTCTAAGTAATTTTATATTAAAAATTTTAGGAGTATATTTTTTATTTATTGCTGTTTTTCTCTAATTTTAAAACAATAACCACTCTATTTGTATGATACTAGAAAAGGATATAAATATAAAACTAATAAACACCTGGAGACAAACTCAACCACAGGTGACATCTCTATTTACTGGTTACTGGGACTTGAACTCAGGACCTTGTGCTTACCAGGCAGGTGCTGTGCCACTGTGCTATATCTCAATTTATAATCAATTATTCTTGTTTCTCAGAAACATAAATACTTACACATTTTATCTTATGTTTTAGTTCTGGATCAACAGTCCCTCCAGGTCCAATTTGTGCAATAACTGACTTGAATGAGTTCTCTAACTATGGAAAAAGGAAGAACAAAGTCAAGTCACAACCTCCTCCCAAAAAGTTAAAGATATATCTAAATAATATTTAAAGGAGATATCTATATAAAAGAAAATTACTTCACCCAAATGGATAAAAAGACTGTGCTTAGAAAATGACACTGTAACATTTCATACCAAAAAACACATAGAGGGAAACTTCACAAAATACGACACTGGAATTTTTCAAGACAGGACTTACTGTAATAGGTTCTAGAATGTTCAATTACTCAACTCTGTACTAAAGACACTTTTTGTTACCAATTTTCCGCATTGTACAGAGAACAAAGATAAATATGATTAGTCTTATTGTCAGAAACTATGCAGACAGGAATAAAGTGGAATAACACATCTGAAGTGCTTCAAAAATGAAGACAATAGCCTTTTCATTTGCACAAAAGCTAAGCATATTGACGACTACTAACAGGATTTTCTCACAGAACATGTTAAAATTTTCCAGGGAGAACAAAAATTATACTAGAGGCAAATGTGTATAAAAAGACTAGAGAATATCAGAAATAGTAAGTGTAGGTAATTATTTTTATTTTAACATAAAAATATTTGAAGCAAAAGTAATATACAGATATACGTGAATTAAAATGTACTGCACAAATAATACAAAGGTTGAGCAGAGTAAATTTACTATTTTAAGATGCTTATACTACATATGAAATGGTATATTACAATCAACTGAGTAATATTATAGTCAATATTAAAAATTTATGTCAGCTAGGTATGGTGGCACACACCTATAATCCCAGTACTTGGGAGGCTGAGGTGGGAGGATCACCAAGAGTTGGAGGCCACACTGGGCTACACAGTGAGGTCAAGGCCAGCTTAGACTATATAGAGAGAGACTTTCAAAAAACCAAAAATCAAAAACTAAAACAGTTAATTGTAGGTTGCAAACGTAAGGCAGTTACCAAAAATACAAAAGGAAGAGGTATGATGACACTACAGAGATAAAGGGAATGATGATAAATAATCACTGGTGAGCCCTCCACTCACCAGTGTTTTAACAGTATGTCTATTTCAATATTGAACAAAATACCAGCTAATACAACAAAATAAGGAAATGAAAAGTACACAGATTGAGGAAGAAGAAATAAAATTGCCTTTCTTTATAGGTGGCAGAATCATGTATCTACGCAGATAACTTGAAAGAATAAACATTCCTTCTAGAACTAATAAGGAATTACACAAGGATACAAGGTTAATGAACAAAAAAACTCACTTATAGTGATAAATGCTGCAATTCACAGTGTGCGTGAAAATCCTAAATGTGTGTACAGGTAAAAAGAGATTCATAATACCCAAAGCAAAAACTAATTCAACTAAAAGGTAAAACAGACTTATTCACAATTATATTTGAGGGGCTTGGGATATAGCTCAGGGGCATAAGCACCTGCCTGGCAAGTGCAAGGTCCTGAGTTCGATTCCTGGTACCAAAAAAGAAAACAAACACAATTATATTTGAAGGTTTTAATATTCTCCCTCAGTAACTCATGCAAAAAGTAAAAAAATCAGCAAAAATACAGAAATCCTGACTATGACTAACTTGTGTGATATGAAATGCTCTACCCAAATACAAGAGATACATTTATTTTGAAGTGGATTATAAAACACCTACCCAGAAGAACACATTCTGAGCCATATAACAAATCTTACTAACTTTACAAGAAATGAATCTGTTTCCTGACCAAATTTGGAGTTAAATTAGAACGAAATCACAGAAAAATCTCTAAAACTCCCCAAGTACCTGGAAGTTAAGCAACATTAAATAACCCATGAGACAAAGAATTCACATGGGAAATTAGAGAATACTTTTAACTGAATGAAAATGAACATACATCAAAGTTTGTAGAGGTAATGTTTCAAAGAAATCCATAGCCTAATGTTTAGTAGAAAAGACAGATCAAAATAAGTTAACAAACTTCTCAGAAAAAGAGGAAATTAAACAGAAAGAAGTAAATAATAAAAATGGGCACTGAAATCAATGACACAGAAAATATGAAAATGCAATAAAACCAAAATCTGGTCCTTTTAAAAAATATACAAATGTACAAATATTGAGCAAGACATAGAATGCATGTTCAAAATGTATGACTTTTTAAATTTTAAAAACTGGATTACAGTGAAAGACATTGCCATCAATCCCCCTCAAAATACTCCCTTCTCATTTTAAACACACTTATTCCACCTTTCTTTCTGCTTTAAGAAGCAGTTCTCCAAGTTATCCTGTATTTGAGATATGATCAAAAATACAGAGAATGCTGCTGCTGAATGCCACCCAATGGAAAGGCAGGCCTGTAAAACCATTATAGTAGGTCCTCCTTTACCTTATTCACTGGATCTAGTACTGTGAAACTTCTGACTCTTCCCCAAAGTCAAAATGACCATGAAAGGTAAAAATTTCGAATTGACTCAGACACTGAGGTAGCCAGGACAGTGCAACCAAAGACACTCACAAAAGAGGACTTCCACAACTGCTTCAAAAAGTGGCAAGAATAAGGGGGTAAGTGTGTTCAAGGACATGGGGAGTATTCTGAGGGACATTAATAGCAATCTGTCTTTTATTGTCATGAATTTTTGAAAAATATTCACCTTGTAAATCACACCTCATATGAGACAGAATATCTCACATAACCTTAAAAATTAGTGATTATTACTGGGTGTGGTGGCACATGCCTATAATCCCAGCACTCGGGAGGCTGAGGCAGGAGGATTGCTGTGAGTTCGAGGCCAGCCAGCCTGGGCTACAAAGTGAGTTCAAGGCCAGCCTGATCTGCATCATGAAACCCCATCTCAAAAAAACAAAAAGTTAAAAATAAAAAGAGTGATTAAACAACTTTATTTCAATAAGTTTGACAACTTTGATACCTTGATGAAATAGCTCTTGAAAGACAAAATATAAAAGTTTATCCAAGTAAAAAAAAAAAAAGAAGTAAATTTTAACAACCCTGTATCTGTTCAAGAAACAATGTATAGTTTAGTATTTCCCCAAAAAAAATTCCAGGTCCAGTATTGTTTTAGTTAATTTTCTCTCATTGCTGAGACAAAATACCTGATGCCCAAAATTAAGGAAGGAAAGGTTTATTTAGCTTCAGTTTGTGGAGGTTTCAGTCCATACTTGGCTGGCTCCAAGGCAGAGTGGCACATGGCAGAGGGCAACAGTTCATGGCGTGGAAAAGAGCAAAGCAGCAAGAGCAAAAATGGAGGAGTGGTGGCAGGCAGCCTCTTTCCCTCCCTTACACTGTATGCAAACTATCCGCCCCAGGGCAGGTGTAGCACTCACATCCATATTCCAACATTGGACCAGGAATCAATCATAAATTCTAGAAGCCCACCCCATGACTGCATGAGGTTTTGGGGAGACATTCAGACACAAATCATAACAAATATGCTTCACTAATAAATTTTATGAAATATTTAAGATGAATCAATACCCCATAGACCCACCCCTAGCCAGCATCATAGCCTATGAGGGACCTGTGCCAGGGCCCAGAGGACTCGAAAACCACCCACTGTAGGGACAGTGTGAGGGGCATGGGCAGGGTAGCTGATGGTTATAAAATTATCACATGCTTACTGTGCACTATGTGCTTGAGGAAGTTCATTTACTGTGTGTTCCTAGACCAACGACCCTTTCCTGACCCTAGAAACAAAGGTTAAAACCCTGAGTAGCCTATATCACACCAGTCAGCAAAATAGTTATTTTTGGAAAACAGCTTATCCCATGGGTATCCACACACATCATTCCCACACACACACACACACACACACAGAGTAACCTGTTCAGGTTTCCGCCCCCCCCCCCTTGTAATGTGTTCTACTGCAAAGTAGCTTTTTCCTGCATTTGCCACCATAAACTTTTGCTTTGCATCACTTTCAATTCTGATTTCCTCATTCTCTGCCAATCCTGACTTTCCTATTTTCCTTTGGCACCTTGGCTCTGAGCAGTCTTGCCCTACTTCTTCATTGTTTGCTGGAGGGCAAGGACACAGAGAATTGAAGGTTTGTCTCATGGGAGATCCCCAGCTCCCCAGACCCCGGCTGGACTCTCCAACACCTTGCCCCTAGCCAATGCCTCTCCCGCCAGGCCCTGCAGTGGAGCTGGAAGGACTTAGGAACTGATTCCCTATCTCCAATCCCTGAGTTTGCCACAGCACAAAGCAAAAGAGTTGACAACCAACAGACCAACAACCAACCAACCTGACTGAAGAAGAGCCAAACACCTAGGAGGAGTGTCTGGCTTCAGGACTGAAGTGACACCAATCCACAGAGACTGGGTAAGTGACACCTTGGGGGATAGGTTTGGAGAGGGTAAGAGCTAAATAGGTATCTCCTGGGATCCCCCGACTCAGACTGGGAAGATCACAGGGTCTACAGTCTGATGTGGGAGGCCAGGTTCAGTGGGAGTCATTGTCAGACGGGGTGGTCCTAAAGAAGGCGACATTTAACCGAGTGGTAGGTTTGAGCTCTGGCCCTGCTGCCAACATCCAGCAGAAATCGGTGCTTTCCCTCAAGAGGAACTGCCCTAAGACGCCCCATGGGCCATGCCCTGGATGCAAAGGAGACCACTGGAGATCAGTCTGCCCTCTGACGTGGAGGCCCCAGAGCTCAGACCCATGCTACCAGTTAGTCCAACAGGAATGAGAGGGCTTGGGGCATGGTCTGCCTTCTCCCACTGGCCGGACCGTCATCTCCATCGAGGAGCCCTGGGTAATCATGACTATGGAGGAACAAGAAAACAGCCTGTTGCTAGACACAGGTGCAAGTCTCTCGGTCCTTCTTTTCAATCCTGGCCTTCCTTCCAGCCATCATACCTCAGTGAAAGGAGTCACTGGTGAGGAGGTAATATGCTATTTTTGACAACCCTTAGGCTTAATAGGTCCCTCTTGCATATCTCTGTCTTCCTGAGAAACCACTCTGAAGATACCACCACGTATTACAGCAGCCATTGATATTTTCCTACTA